AGTTATTAATTACAAGACAAAATGTAAATGTAAAATCCAACCAAGCCAGATAGTTAAACATTAAAGTTACCCTTTTTCTATATATCAAACACAGTAAATCACAGCTATCAGTCACAAATACAAACATCTATCCAATAACAACTGTTTAGTCACACAGTTTGTTCTGCACTATAGCTATATACATAAGCATCAACGGTTAGGGCATTTAAGGACATCATTACACAAATAATTCTTTCTTACATCTCTCTAACCACATGGCTTGTTTTATGTCTTTTCATAAGGGTTTTATCCACCAGCATCACCTTCATGGACACAGACACATCATACAAGTAATGGTGCACATCTCATGGTTGTTTTTGGACTGGTTACAGTCAACACTGAGCTGAACGTAAAGCTCCAGAGAAATGTGCCATCTCTGTCCCCACTGCTATTAACACTGCACACTCCTTTCAGTCCTCAGACAAGCTCCCAAAATACAACAACCACTTGAGATATCATTAGGTTGTTGACTAGCTCCTGGAGGAAAAGTGTGCCAGTATTAGCTACGACTACAGCACTACACAGAGACATCCATATGACATATCAACTACTTCGCAAAATATTCACAACAACTCTATTATGTACTTGTGCATCTACTCAATAAATTTAGTGAACCCACTAAATTTTATTGTTATGATTCGATGTGGATACGTTTGCTTACAGTGGTTGATGGCTGGTGATCTATCATTAATACAAAATAAATACAAATAAATATATTGTTAGAAGCATACAGGCCACTACTTACATTACAACAATCTTCAACACATTCAGTTTTTAGTGTAAGACTGTTTTAAACAGAGTGACGTGACATTTTATTGGTCTATTATGGTGACAATGAGCCAAAAACACACTGCAAATCACAGGTGTTAATTGTTCAATGTCCCTCTGGGGGAAAAAACTTGATAAAATATTGTCATGGTGCAGCCTTTATTGCTTGATGGAGTTAAGTATTTACAAGATTTGACTCTGTGTTAAATCATAGTATTAGTCATAGAAGAACTTTAGTCCACAATAACGTAGTCTGTATTATTTTCTCTGGTACTGATCTGCTCGCTGGGCCTTTAAACACTGCACTGACTGTAACTTCAGTGTATCTTGTATCCCTTCAGTTTCAGCAGTTGACAGTTATGGGCTTCAGAGGACACATTAAAGTGATGTGTGTTTGTGCTAGTGCTTGAGAGAAGAGAGCGTGAGAAAGAAGTTAAGAGAAAAATCTTACTGAGAAACCAGTTCTGGCCTAGCCAACATTGTCTTACATCCCAGAATAAATGCAGCATATCCCAGCAGCCCCAAATAGATGTAGCTGGAATATCTAACTAGCATGAATGGCACTGGCCAGTCGCATCAGAATCTGTCATTGAGATGTTGATTGACCATCTGCTATCCCATGTGACCCACCTATTTCAGTTGTTCAGTGTTTATTAACAGAAGAATGATTGAAGTATGGAATAACTAGAGAAAGGGCTAGAAAAGGAGAAAATGTTGATGTCAGGTAGACTTAAAGGGCAACACCAACTACACGAAAAACTCCAGTTTGTTATTTCCATGGCCTTGAAAAGTTAAATAAATATTTGTGGACATGAGCTGCTCCCTCAAAGCCAGAAACCAGAGAAGTAAGTCTCAAACTTGGGACATCATTAAGTATAGTCTGAAGCTGCTACAGTACATCCGCAATTAATGGGAGACTGATTTGATGGACCCGCAGGATGTTTGTTTTCTTTTACCAAATGAGCTTTATTTCATTGTAGTGTCCTCGGCTCTGAAACAGGAAATGAACCCGCACACTCAGAACATTCCCCTGAGTGCTCTCAGTGTCATCGTTTGCATCTTTCCCAATTCACTGCCTGTGTAGCAGCTCCAGACTTTATATTTGATGACATCACACCTTTGAGTTGTTCATGTTAACCATTACACTAAACAAAAATTTAAACGCAAACCATTGTTTTTGCTCGCATTTTTACAGGTTCAAGTTTAAGGTCAAATACTTATTTATTTGTCTCTCATATTTTGGTTGCAGCTTTCCGTTTCCGAGATAATCAATCCATCTGACAGGTGTGGCATATCATGATGCTGATTAATACACATGATTACTACACAGGTGTGCTTTGGGCTGGTCACAATAAAAACACACTAAAATGTACAGTTTTATCACACAACACAATGGCACAAATGTTGCAGGTTTTGACAGAGTGTGCTAAATTTGTGACCAAAATTTGAGGTCTTTTGTGTGCATAAACCTGTAAAATATGGGGGCAAAAACAAAAGTGTTCCTGGATTGCCTTAGACCACAGGAATAAAACTACCTATGAATTAAACATATGTATGAAGTTTAAAAATGTGCGTAGTTTCCTTTTAAACCTAATGCACTCCTGAGGTCTCCCACTTGGGAGGAGCAGAAACAAGTTGTGAACTAAACACTGACATATCAAACTGTGCTGACTGATAGGTTGGCCATTTAATGGTACTAGAACAAGCTGTAAACACAAAATTAATGTTGTCACCACTAAAATATGTTGTGGTAAACATACTAACAGCTGCTTGGTTGCACATGGTTGCATTTGGAGCATCATTAGCATTCATTTGGTGTGGTCAATGTGGCAACCTCCTCCAGAGGGAACTATCTGGCTCTTTGTGTGCTAAATGTTCCTGCTAAATGTCTGTGGTTTGCTGTTGCTTTTTACTTATGTCCATTTAAATCCGCAATAAGCAGGGTCAACTTGAGTGGCACTTCAGGGCCGTGACACGTAGTATGACGGCCTTATGTTGGCTAAACTATTGGGAGACTCCTATTACCTTGTGTGCCAGGGCTAATGAGCAAGTTCAGTTTACTGTTAACGTTACACTTAGCATGGCTAACACATAACCAGGCTAACATTATATAGGAACATAGTTTGAATTAGCTTAATGTCACTGTTAAACAATGCGAGTAAGTCAAAACCTTTTAAACTACCTGCTCGAGAGTTAGCTAACAGTTAGCATTAGCAGGTAACCGTGCTAACAACAACGTTAGCTGAGATAGTTGGATAATTAGCTTTAGCCACAGCTAACTTTTGACTAATGTGGGGAACTAGCTAGCTCTTCACGAACTTACCTTTTTTCAGTTCGTTGATCCAAACATTTACAATGGTCCTCGAGTGTTTTCTATGATGAATGAGCCACAGCGACAACGTCTGCACACTTTGCTGTGAGTTGCTGAGTTCGGACAGTTTCTTTTCTAAAGCCGCCTCAGAGAAAGCTGACATCTTGACGAGACCACAGGGAGGACTGGACACTGGGAGAGGCAGCTTTAACGTGTCCCCCAGATGTGTTGTCTGCCGCGTTAGCCAATCACTACAGAAATTTTAGCCATCCACATTAGACGACACACGCTTCCTCCTCCTATGTAAAAACTGACCGGGGTTGTTGATGTTAACTCGCTGCAGCCGTCCTCTCAGTAGTGTTGTGGTGCGGCTCCAGGCAAAGCAACCACAGCAGTCTGCTTCTGCTTCTTCTTTGATTTTAATGGCGGTTAGCAAACCAGCTTTCAGGCGCCTTACCGCCACCTACTGGACTGGAGCGTGGCACAGCAGATTGCCATCAAACAGGGCAAAACAATAAAAAAGAGGAGTAAATTTCTCTCTGTCATTCCTGTCACTCTTCATCAGTTAAACAGTAGCTTACCTATATTCCTTGATGCCTGTCCAAGTAGACTGCCCAATGTAATACTGTGCTTTTCTTCAGTTAGTCCTGTTATTAACTACAGCTGGGCATTCAACACAGTCATACCACAAAGACTCTCAAAAGCTCCTCACCCTCGCACTGATACCCTCCCTCTGTGCCTGGGTGCTGAATTTTCTATCAGTCAGAGTTGGGAACCATACATCAGGAATAAGAACTATAAGCACAGGGACCCCCCAGGGCTGTGTGCTAAGCCCCCTGCTGTACACCCTCTTCATGTATGATTGTGTGGCCTCCCAGACCAATATCAGCATTATAAAATTTGCAGATGACACTACAGTCATTGGGCTGATCACTGATGGGGTAGAGACATACAGAAGACAGGCAACAGAACTTGTGGCCTGGTGTCGGGACAATAATCTCTCCCTAAATGTACGCACCCCAACTACAGTCTTTTCACACTTCTGCTACAGGAGTGTAAAATCCAGGACAAAAAGACTGACCAATTTAAGCAACAGTAACAAGCTAAGACGCTGTTAATCAGGAAGAACTCATTGGGAAAACATTGGGACTTTATTGTTGTCTTTTTTGAGAACATTGGGACTTTATCATCATTGACAATGTTTAGTTTTTATACTTATCAGGTCCTACTGATCCCAAATAGCTAGGAGAAATTAAAAATGTACGCCAAACAAAAGTTCGGGTCTCAGGGGGATAATATTCCCCATAATACAGCTGTATATACTGACAAGTGGCACAGCGGTCATCTTCTTCTTTGGAGGTTTTAACGGTGGTTGGCAACCAGCATAGGAGGTACATTGCTGCGCCCATCTACTTCAATGTGTGGATCAGAGATTAGATCCTACTTGTTAATTCAGTTTCGCTGAGAAGTCTTAGAGAGTCTTACTCTCTTGAAACCTCTTCTTGACCTTCCTGTGTTTCCAAATGGTGAATTGACTTTATATTGTAAAGAGATCATCCTCTCTTGTTTTACTGGTCACTAAAAGTACGTTTGTGGTTTCTTCTGATGTCTGAGGATGAAATTCCTTGTTGAATCTGACTCAAGCTGAGGTTTTGAAGACATATATACTGCGGCTCAAATCTCTACTACAGCCATCCCTCTCCACCGTTCATGATGTGAAATTCAATCTTAAAATTTTCATTCAATCATTTCAAATCAAAGAAAGCAAATCCTTAACCATCCTACATTTCCTGTCAGTCTACTATAAGCAATTACTAACACGGTCAATAGGTTTATGTAAGTAGGACACAATAGTCATGATTCTACCTCCTCAATGCCAAACTTAAGAGATGTTTACAAAACTTTATTATGCACCACAGCATTAGATGTTTGCATTGTTACAACAGCTGCCAATGTAAACATACAACATATACTGATGTTACAGAGCCTTATATTTCCAAAGAGAAGGAGATTAATCATTTGTATCATTTCCCAAGTTTTGTTTTTGGAAACTTAGAGTCAATATCAGTAGCATTCCATAACACATGGACATATTCAACATAAATATACTATCTTTAATGGTCACAAAATAACCAAAAAGAGGTCATCCAAACATCATAGAAACAACCTCAGCCATTTTTACTGTAATACAATTAGGAAAGCAGTACATTTGATCTTGTTTTATCGCATTAACATTTCTCTTCAAAGGTTTAGAAAATCCATTTAAGCACAAACATAACAACCATCACACAGCTAATGCAATCTAAAATGAATTCTTCTTTGGAGTTATTTTGGCACAGCTTGTACATAAATACAGTCATATTTGACATATTGGCTCAAAGGAAATAAAAGTAGCTATTTGTAGTATTAGTAGTAGTTCATCAATTACTGACAGCTACAAACCACAGCTTCAGTGTGATTGACAACTTTTATTTCTTTGTTGCTGCTCTGAACCAAAACAACTTATACAACACTGGAAAAAAGTTTGAAGCTTTTATACTGAGCAAGTTACTCATCCTCACTTGGTTAGTGTACATGTTACACCTAGAAATATACGAATGCCAGTACGTTTCACTTTAAATGATGTAATTATCCCCAACATTCTTGAGTCATCATTCTGAGATAATAAAAAACCAAAAAAAAAAAAAAAAACGACTCGTTCATTTTAGAGGAACAACAACAACAAAAAATATGCCAGGGCAGAATTAGAACCAGGGCTGCACCATCTGAGTGTGATTTCATTAAATGAGCATGCAAGTCCCTTCAGTAGAAATCTGGTCTCGGTCAAGTGTGGTAATGTATGCAGAATCAAAATTTGGGATATTCAAACATAAATGGAGTTGTTCCACCTGAACTTCCTGAAGTCCTCAAATCTGAAAAACCAGTGGCTCGGAAATTACGATCAGAGTGAGGTGCATAACCTGGAGCTTGCCCAGGTGGGATGAAAGTATTTGATTGGGACACACCACCCCCACTGTTTAGTGGATGAGGGAAGCGCTGGTCAGAGTTTGTCCTAGGTCCAATATTGTAATTGGGGTTAGACATCACACTATGGCTGTACTGGATGGCTTGATGGGCTGTAGATTGTGTCATATAGCTATGTTGAGCTGTCTGGACAGGACCAGTGGTGAACTCCATGTATGTTTGCAATTGTCTCTGTTCATTATCAAGAAACCGCACTCTTGGTTCTGGTGCAATACTGCCACTGTGACCAAGGGAATCTCCTGCACGATGATGCATGTAGATCCTAGCAGGATCTGCATGAGCACCCAGTTCATCAGACAAACCATACTGACCCACACCGCCTCGCTGAAGGCTTGTATGAGCTTGTACCATGTACTGATTTTTGGGTTGTTGTTGGTAATACTGTTGAGTAGCGTGTGAGCTTATCTTGTTCTGTCTCTCCTCTCTTGACACTCTTGTGGCAACTTTACTCTGTGTAGTTGGATTGTACCACTGCTCAGTGCCACCTGCCTCATGTCTGTAGGAGGAGTTATAAGATGGCCAGTTCTCAGCGTGTGATGCAGCAGATGACAGCCACTTGTTTTCTGTCTGGGAGCCTTCAGTTTGCCACTCTTTGTAAAACCTCTTACTTGAACTTTCTTGAGAACCGTGCTGTCTGTTGTAATACTTGTCCCCACACATCTGATATTTTGTTCCAGTTCTGTCCTCTGACTGCTCAAAGTATTCGTTGTCACTGGAACAACCATCCACCTCTTGATACTGAGTGACTGTGAAGTTCCTTTCCGGCTCCATGTATTGATAAGTGTCCTCATGTCCACCATAGATGTCTTGCTGAAGTTGTGAGGTGTGCACAGCCTGGTTAACTGCAAATGATTCACTGTCACAGTCCAACTCACAGTCCTCTGACAGGGACTCTGGCGGGGGACTGAGATCTAAGTCCAGTGAAGGTGAGTATCCAGATGTCACAGAGGGGCTGTCCTTGCTCACGGAGGTCCTCTCCAGCAGCACTGAACCTTTGGTAAGAGGCAGGCTTACCTTGAATACAGTATTAGTCACTCCCCTCAGTTTTCTCTTTGCTTTCCTCCTTTCTGCCCGTTTTGACAACGTCGTGGCACATTTCTCTGGCATGCCTTGATTCAATGTCTTGTTCACACTTGGCCCTTAAAGAAAAAGTGTAAATTGGACCCAAAAAGGTTTAAAAAACAGGAAATTACAAATTACAAACTACAGAATTACTGAAAGACTTAAATTTTGGGCCCCTTCAAGTGAACTGTTGCTTCCAAAAACACAGACCTTTGACAGCTTTTTTCCACTTCTGGTTCTTAGCGTGTGTCCATCCACCACTATGTAGCATCCTTAGACCTTTTAGACAAAAAAAGAAAACAACAACACAGGGAGTACACATACATACACATGAGTCCTTGCAGTAAGACATGCACCAGGTGAAAGAATAAGTAAGCAGTTAAAAGTAGCACGTTCATAACTGCAAACACTGAAGTGGAAGATGAAACTAGAATTATTGCCCCAGGGTTGTATGCCTCCGCGCACCAGTCAAGTTTATCTTATAATTTACATCCATGTCTGTGAAAACACAGATGCGTGACACACATTTTAAAGGCGCTGTATGTAAGAATGTGGCCAAAACGGTTACTGCACTCAAATTCAAAATACTGCCACGAGTCGTGTCCGCTCCCCCTCCCCTACAGATTCGAAGTTGCTGGACAGCGGCACGCTGGAGACTCATCTGTTTGCCCACGGATGGCTGCCGTGGCAGGGCCGCGTCCTTGATCTTTGGTTTTCCAGCGGACCGTTCGAGCAAGTCCGGCTTCTCTGCTGCTAATGCTGCTGCCGGGATACAGCTGAGGAGAAGCCGGCTGCTCATGCTATGTACTGGGACACTGCTAACGCTGCTTGCTGTGCTGCTGTAGCTCACTGATGCTGAGACTCTACTGACTGCGTGACTGGTAGACGGCGGTGGGTGGCGCAACAGGCCAAAACACGAATTCAAAACATAAACATGATTTGCACACCGTAAAAAATTTTTTAAATGCGAATATTCTGGCTGTACTATTGTTGTCGGTGAGATCAGTATGTTATATGAACATTATTCCTTAGTCTCTGTGACATATTAGGAGGATTTTACGACCATTTGCTTTAGATTTCTTACATATAGCTCCTTTAACGCCAACAGCACAGAAGATCTATACAATCAGCACAGTTCCATGGTTGGCACCCAAGATTAGTGTCACCAATTTAGCATTATGATGTCACAGTGAACATTTGACCTTTTGGAAATTAAATGTCATCACTTCATTATTTTATTCTATTAGACCTTTGTGTACAGTTTTGTCATAATGTGTATGAATTCTTAGGTTATGACATTTTTTGTGAAGTCACACTGACCTTGACCTTTGACCTTCAACTACAAAATTCAAATCAATTTATTTTTCAGTCCAAGAAGATGTTTGTGTCTATTTGAAGAAATTCCCTTCAGGTGTTCTTGAGATATCCCAGTCACAAGATTGAGACGGATGCAAGGTCACATTGACCTTGACCTATAACCACCTAAAACTGACCAGTTCATCATTGAGCCACACTGACCTTGACCTATGACCACCTAAATCCAACCAGTTCATTATTGAGTCACATTGACCTTGACCTATGACCACCTAAATCTAACCAGTTCATCGTTCAGTCTCATTGACCTTGACCTATGACCACCTAAATCTGACCAGTTCATCATTGAGTCACATTGACCTTGACCTATGACCACCTAAATCCAACCAGTTCATCGTTCAGTCTTATTGACCTTGACCTATGACTACCTAAATCCAACCAGTTCATTGTTGAGTCACACTGACCTTGACCTTTGACCACCTAAATCCAGTTGAGTCCAAGTGAAAGTTTAAGCCAACTTTGAAAAAATTCCCTCAAGCTGTTCTTGAATTATCACATTTATGGGAATGAGATGGATGCAACCTTGACCTCTGACCCTTGACCACCAAAATCTGATCCGATCATCCTCAAGTCCAACTCAATCTTTGTGCCAAATTTGAAGAAATTCCCCCAAGGCTTGAGATATTGTGTCACAAGGATGAGACAGATGGACAGACGGACAATCCAAAAACATAATACCTCCGGCCATGGCTATCGCTGGTGTGGAGGCGTAAAAAAGACTAAAGGAGTGTGAGGAGAACAACAAAGAATGGAGATAAAAGGGTGCAAAAATAATACAACAGTAGATAGTAATATTTGTGCTTGGCTTCCCTGCGGAGAACAGAGGCTGTGGTCACCTTGGATTCACAGTTACTGCATGCCACCTTTCAAGCTTAGCAAGAGCTGAAGGTTTCAAACTTGAGACCTTGTATCGTGTGAGGGAGCAGAAAGTTAATTAAATGTTATACTTACATCACAAATCATTCGTCAAGAGCAGAGAGCTGAAGAGGTGCTGGAGAGGAGCTAAAGAGGTGAATGGTGTATGGTTTATAAACAAGGAAACAGTGGATGGGCATGCATCTGTACTTACACCAGTGGTAACTTTTGCCTGTCATTAGGATACAGAGGGATTCTGGTACGTTTACCACCTGGGAACATGAGATGTTTGTACATGTTGATGGACAGATGAGTACAGCTGAACTCTACATCTTTGTGGCAAAGAACACAAGAGCCATTTTATACCTATGTTAGCACAACCAAGGCAGGATAATCTGTACATCAAAGCAAATATGATACCTTTGGCTCTCCTCTGCCCTCTTCTCTCTCCACTCTCTTGGCCAGTGATTGGAGAAGCTGATTGCTGTCATCAGTATCTGCCATCATTACCTCCACCTGCTCAGGGTAAGTTTCCATCTACACACAGAGGTTTTCAGTAAACTTAAAAGTCAAACCTGGTATGTTTTCTACAGCCTTTGGATGTGAACTGTTAATGACTTGTGTTTTTTTCTTTTGAATTACTGATCCACAACAAACTGACCAAGTAGTTCACGACATGGGAAGATGTGGTTAGGTGATCAATGATGTCCATTTTGTTGGATCTGATGCGGCAGCAGTGACATAAGAAACAGTGCGTGTAGCCATCTTCACTTCTACATTCAACCATGCGGAACAGACCTGTTACAAACATGCATAAGCAGCTTCATTTAAAGCAACAGTCACAGCAATGGCCACAGATTAGAGATGATCGACATCACTGTCAGGACTGTACGATAAATATATAGCTACAGACAACAGCTGGAAACACAGTGAAACATGCAGCACAGCTCCAAATCCAAAGATAATATCATCCACCAACCAAAGCTCAGTAAATAGCATGTTATCTCTCTTTGATTTGTTAAATCGATACAGAAATTGAAGTATAAAACCACCACTTTGTGATTTTACTGGGGTTTTGTGCCATAGGCTTACTAGTGCTTGGCCAGGAACTGTTTTCAGGCATGTTTCTAGACCCAGTCAAGAAATGATCTAAGCCAAGATACGTATTTACCAAACAGACATGAAGGCAATATCGATCTTCTGTTTAAGAATATGATTAAACATATTTCCCAAAATGTTAAAATTAGAATTACTGATGTGCAGTACTTATAACTGGTTATGGTCCAATTAACAATAATTAGGTGGACAGCTTCAGTGAATTCCAACAATCAATATGTGCAGAAATGTCTTATCCTACAAGCCACTGTGAATCTACACCGATCAGCCAAAACATTAAAACCACTGGCGGGTGAAGTGAATAACATTGATTATCTTGTTACAGTGCAATATTCTATGAGGAAACCTTTGGTCCTGGCATTCATGTAAATGCTACCTGACATGCTCCACCCATCCGAACACCATTGCAGACCAAGTACACCCCCTTATGGCAATGGCACTTGTTAATGGCAGTGCCCCCCAGCAAGACAATGCATCATGCCACACCACAAAAACTGCTCAGAAATGACCCATGGAATGGGACAAGGACCTAAAGGTGTCGTCCGGACCTCCAAATACCCCAGATCCCAATCTGATCGAACATTTGAGGGACGTGCTGGTACACCAAAGGTAGCCCCGATCTACAGTGGGTCCTCCTTGGGCTGGACTTGGCTCTGACCTGTCAAGGCATGAACACAGGACCTCTGGAGGGTGTTCCTTGGTGCCTGGCACCAACACGTTCTATCTGGTCTGCACTGGTGTTTGGGTGGGTGGAGCGTGTCAGGTGGCATCCGCATGAATGTCAGAACCAAAGGTTTCCCAACAGAATATTGCATTGTAACAAGATGATCAATGTTGTTCACGTCACCTGTCAGTGGTTTTAATGTTTTGGCTGATCAGTGAATGTACCTTGCAGTCCAATAAGTTTGACATTTTCTGTACTTTCTAGCACCTGTTGCAATCAGTTACCAATCAACCTTTACCAATGCTCACCAATAAGAGGCTTGGTCCCTGCGTAGCCATCAAGAAAGCTGTTGCCGTAGTCTGATAGCACAGAGGGTTCAGGTGATGTGTTCTTTAACCAGTTTTCTGACTTGATGAAAGCTACAGTTTTGTTTGTCTTTGCCGTGGTCTTGAGGGTGTCTGGGTTCTGGGAAAGCAATACAATCCTCTGTGACTGGATGGGATAGTGCTGCTGCTGCTGCATAGATACGGTCTCTGAATGGCTCTCACGTTCACCCTGCCCATCTCTTAAGATAGTTATCAGAGTTACCGCTGTGGTGTTAAAAAGAGAAAGAGACTGATATGGAGTAAAAATGGACATGGATATGGAAAAACGATGGAAATGAGAAGACTGATGGTGGGATTGAAGGGGTGGAGAAAGGCAGAGAACCACTGCTCTGAACAAATGAATAGTCACTGACCGTCATTCTCACTGTGTGTCGCCAACTTCTGGTATACAGCGTCGTCAGCCTCTAACCACTTCATATAAAAAGGTGCAGAAAGACTATATCAAAAAACATGCATCTGTCTGCAACTAAAACAACGGCATACCCGGTCAAGATACCATACCCGGACATCCCCTGGTCCCTCTTTTCCCTCAAGTATCTTGGCCATCTCCATCAGTGGCCGGGCCAGCTTAGAAAGGTCAGTCTTCTCCTTCCACTCAGACACTAAGTGCGGGTGCCAGGCTTTCTGTCAGGCAAAACAACACGAGATAAGACACTACCGCCCAAAGCAGCACACAAACTTGCCATTATGCGTTCTCATACAGTGCTACTTACAATGTAGTTGTATCTGTGGAGACTCCCCATAATGTGGTTCCGCATGTCCGCTTTACTAAGTCGACACACACATACCTCACACAGGTACAATACCTCTGTGTTGTGGGTTCCGGCCTTCACACATTCTAGTATACTGCCCAGGCCTGAACATACATTAAATGACAAATTATTTCAATACACACAGGACACACACAACATATACACACAGCAGGGATTTATTGCTACAGACCAATAATAGGTTGTAGTCTGTTTGGGTTGTTCAGATATGCCTTCAGAGAGTCAAACAGCTGGCTTTTGGTAGAAACTCCTACAAACAGAGAAGGCATCAGGCAAATATATTCACAGAGGAATGGCATAGCATGGTAGTCCACATGCAGAGAGTAAAAGACATACCCGTTTGTGCTTCAGCCGGCTGCATGCTGCAGTTGTAGAATCTCCACCTGCATACAGCTAAAGTTGGAGCTTACTGTTAGTAATTTTAATTTGAACGTGCTTGGTGTTCAGATGGCTGAACTGATTTAGTCTCCCTCTAAAACAGCATGAAAACTTGAAGACCTGATCACGTACAAAGCTCAATACATTTAGGCAAGTCTTTCGTGAAGTCATGACAAAACTTGTAGGATTGGCTTTTCCACTGGACCCACAAATTTGGGGTCAACACCTTTCTGAAGATTGGGCAGCCCTACTTGATGTATACTGATATTTTACCAACACCTTATTGTAAAAAGGATATCAGATCGATGCACCGTTAGTCCTCTGATTAAGCCAGGATTATTTGGCGCCATGTTTGTGTGTGTGTGTTCTATACGGTTTTTAAACTGAAAATAAAATATTCCACAAAAAAAACAACTGGCCTGCCAAATCAGGACCACTGAATAACTTTGCACACCTAATACTGATGCACTTGTGGAGATTAAAAAGGTGCCAGGGTTCAAAAGCAAGTTAAACAGTGGGTGTTTCTCACAGTCCAGGAAGGATTCTGAAATGGCTCAAATTCAAGGATGCTACATCATCGATCCCCGCCTAAGGACTGTTCCAATGTCAAGGATCCTTCAAATTCTACAAAGGACAGAGTCCATCATTCAGAGAATTTTCAAGGATGCATGTGTGTATCCTCAGCAAGTATAAAGTACCCACAATTCTTTGCGCACGATTTGCTGGAAGCTGCACCAGTGGAGCTAAATGTGTCATTTCTTTGGATTAATATCTCCAGGAGTTTTTATCATACAAGCATGAAAAATCATTGACATAATTTACACTTTCCAATGTGTCCACTGCCGAATAATGAGATTTTTAAAATATCGTGGTTAAGATAAAACATAAAAGTGTTTAAATTAATCATTTACAGCAGTGATAGAGGGCTAAGTGCCACAAACATTTCATTTAGCCTGCCTATTTGTTTCTTTAAGTATAATTCAGAAATACATTCTCCCTAAAAGTCATGTCACTTTGAAAATACTGCTTGCATTTGTTCAAACTGTACAACATTAGAGAGTGCCAAAATTATCACAGTACCCTGGAACCCTGTCAGTCCCCAGAGAGTTAATGGCGCACACCTGGGACACTTGTTAGCCTGCTCCAATGTGTATTCAATGACAGCTAAAAGGGACTCTTTCCTTTTCTCTGCAGGATCCTTGACTCTGAGAAACACCAAGTGTCTACCTTGCTTTATGTAAAATGCCACCTCAGAGGCTTCCCACCCTGACCAGAATACAGGCTCTGAAAAACAATCACTGCTACAAAAATGTGAAGTTATCCCCCTGTAAGGCGGGAGATAAACTCACCTGCTTCCTGACGAAGCGAAAATTGGTGCCTGGAATTGGGCCAGATGGCTCCTGACCTCATCCTCGCCTTTTCTTCAAATCGTCCTCTGTGTTAATTTAGTATCTTAGGTTCGGTTGGCTGGTACTCAGAGAAACACTGGAGACCAATTGAATCCGGCACAATCGAGTTTAATGTGTTCACAAGCTTCAACACATAAAACTCATGAGTCAGGCTCTGGAGCAAGACTGAAGACTCACTTTCTGAGCTCTCCCTTTTATGCTGGTGAAGATTGAGAGAATCTCCACCCTTTTCCTTTTAGCCCTTCCTACCAGGGCCCAAACCTACTGGTGGCAGGCCTTTTTGCCTTTGTTCAGACATGCCCAAACATGCCCAGGCATGTCTTAATGGTGTAATCCTTTTTCCCCGGCCTGGAAATCCCCAAACTCTCCCACCATTAGGTTCGAACTCGGGTTCACACTATTTTTTAAAAACATATGGAACTTGGGGACTATTTCTATAAGGTCCCTTGTGCCTTCATGCAATACAAAACCTTAGAGTGTGTGTGTGTGTCTATTATTACACTTCCAGGCAGTACATGGTATGGTATGTGTTTTCAATATATGAATACAAAATTTGTGTAAAAAGTGTTTTGCCATACATGGATACATAAAAACATTATTATGTGAACTTCAACCTTAATCAACTTTACTGATTAATGATTAATGATTAAATCTTACACTACATTCCTCAATAGCTGCCACTTTAATTTGGCACCAGCATTACTACACAGGAGTGGAAATGTATGGGGAAATGCACGTGTAATGACAGTGAGAAGCAGAATGACTGGATGAATATATAGTTGAAACTTAAGACATTTTCTTAAGACATCTCAGGCTGTTTATCATCTGTAACGTTTTCACAATGTGCTTGCTCTTCTTTACACTATAAGAAAGGGACAATTATGGAGGTTTAATTAGTTATAGGTTATTATTGGGATCAAAGTGGGCTGTGTGTGGCCATGGACTCAGATCAGTTAGTGGCTACTGGCTTACACTTACCACCAGGTGGCGCTGCAGTATCATAAAACAGCTCAGCCGTTACCTAAAGTGACCTTTCTGTCATTTAAACCAAGTTTCACTGTGGTCTAACGTTATATCTGCTGCCATAGATACCGACGTTAATTCATCAAACCGACTGGGAACGGACAAACGTTACCGACAAGCTTTTCAGGTAACTTAAACAACCGAAACTAACAAGCATGTGCTCGACGTGTCGCCCAAAAAAATAGCTGTAATTCACGTGTTAACACGGTAAAGACAATAACTTCCTACTGTAGGTTATTAACTTACCGTTAGACGGTTAGTATCCACCGAAATCTGGCACCAGTGACGTACGGTAACCGACAAAGTGGGTGAAGCTTGGCAACTGTTGTCTTCAGAGTTCAGTCTCTCGGGGCTGTCCAAGCAAACCAACAGATCCTGCTTATCTTCGAGCGCGCGCGCGTGTGCATGTGCATGTGGACTGATTTCAAATTTATTGGCACTGTCACAAGTAAAAGTCCTGTGGTGGCAAATAATTATACAGTTCAGTAGTTAATTTATTATGTGTTCAATGATGTTGGAACAAGGTACATGTTACCTGCTGCAGGCTGGAGGAATCGAGCAACAGAGACAGGTGGCGAGAGAAGAGCGCCCCTAAAGTCTCTGTCTGCCTGCCTGTGTTTCAACCGTTTCAACCCAAAGCGACCCATTATCCCATAACTTCAATGGAGACGTCACTTCCTGATAAGGCAACACCCAGTGACCGAGTCAAGCATCACATTCCTCACATTACATGTCTCTCCTTAGCTGTCAAGCCCTTCCCACAACACAACACACAAGGAGTGAATGAGAACATAACAATGTAATGTGAACGGTATAATAAACGTAATATTATATATGAATGTATATAAACCACTACAGTCCTGCATTCAAATTTTTATTTAAAGAAATAACAGGAGTACAAGCATGGATGTAGTTAAAGTGCAAAAATTAGAAGTACTATTTAAGCAAAAATAATGGTTCATTTTTGGATGGTAGCTGGTAACGATTGGGCTAACTTTTATTTATTAATTTATCTACTGACTGACTTACTTATTTACTTACTTACTTACTTATTTATTTATTAAGTTACTTACCTACTTACTTAATTACTTATTTGCTTACCTATTTATTTATTTATTTGCTTACTTAGGCTACTTATTTTTTTTACGTACTTTTTTTACGTAATTTCATCAAAATCCATTTAGAACTTTTTGAGTTATTTTGCAGACAAACAAACAGACAAACACCAGCAAAAACATAACCTCCTTGGCCAAGGTAATTATTGTTATTATTATTATTATTATTATTATTATGACTTTATTAAGGACACAGAGAAAGGCCCATAGCATACAACACACAAAAAAACAATCATCTATTTACAAAAATACGATTATATTCCTATTTAAGCAAAATAATGGTTCATTTCAGGATGGTAGCTGGTAAAGGTAAGGCTAATTTAAGCAAAATACTTTTTATTGTTTTTATACCCTGTCTTAATGCCTTTCTGTCTAGAGCACTTTGAATTGCCTTTTTGTTGACAGGTGCTACACAGATGTGGTAGGAAACATGTTATTAGGAAATGTAATTACATGTGAGAGATGATTTACCCTGTCATAGTTAGGAAACAGGAGGGGTCACAATAGCCTTCGAACATTCCCAGCTTTGTGTGGGGGAGATGCAGGCTAGTGGGAAAAATATTACTTTATGATTGTAACAAGTTAAACTGTGCTTAAGGGATCTATATTTTGCTTAATTTGCTATATGCTGTGTATCACATCCATTTTAATTAATGTGAAAACAAGAACTTATCTCACAGAACATATGCGTATTTCTTTGGGGAGAGGCTCTTCCAGTCACCAGAGAGGAATTGCTTCTGAGATCTGTGTTGCATCACAGAGTTGTTTTTGTGAAACATCCGCCTGTGGGAGAGAGCTGACCACCTGACCTTGAAACAAGACATGACCCAGAGAGGGGGGGTCCTTTCAAATTGGAGACGAGCAGGTGGTGGGTTAAAGATGTCAGTGTGGATTGGTAAATGGAGGGAGTCTTTGACCTTTTGGAGCATCCTAGTTCAGTTTGTCTGATGTTGGGGGGGGAGTATGTTAGATAGGACAGGGAACCAGGGGAGCGGTGTTGAACAAATAGTTCCAGTTATGATTCGACACGATAAATAGTATATTATGTTATTATATGAAGCGTCTGTCATGCAAAATAATATAACTTTAGTTTATGAAGAGATCAGACGGAGCCCTCTCCTCTCCTCTTATATGCTTTACTCACAAGTGTGTGAATTGACCTGGATATGAAGCGTCCGTAGCGCCAAATAATATAAGGGTAGTTTCTACAGAGCAAAAAAAAGACTTAAAATAAATCAGCAGCAGGGGTCATATTTCAGCAGCGGAGCACCACCGCTGCTAGTTGCATATAGAGGAAACACTGTTGCTCAATGGATTTGTTCTGTTTTGGAATACACAGTATTCTTCCAAATTAGTGTTAGTGTATTTTAATATTGAGAATTTTGCTTTGACAAGCGCTCTCTTTCTAGACCATACACCTGTTTGCATCCCTGAGAATAATGCCCAGCAGCATTGCTCAAAAAGTTGCTCTGTGTATCATCAGTTGAACAGTTGTGTTGGTGAGTCAAAATGAATGAGGGCTGCGCAATATTAGACAAAACTGACAATGCAACGACGATTATGTACACTGCAATATGTATTGCAATATGGCCCCCGGAAAACTACCCGCTGGGCAGCGGTAAGAGCTGATGTCCAATAGGAGATTTAATTATCTTAATCTAGGATTCCTTAGATAAATATTTTGCGCATCCCTGCATTCCCAATTTAACATACTCTCTCACTATCGCCAAATTAAATAACTAACTCAATCAATCAGCTTTGTTCACACCTCTAAATTTGATCAAAAGTTGGTTTTCATCCATTAGCTCAATTAAAGTTAAATAATTGCATAAAGACCATAAATAATTATTTTAGTTTATTTTGTTTATTACCCTTAGCCTGAGGAACCTAACAGCTCTAAGTTTCCACCGAGCTCCTCTCCTGGGGGCCTGGGAAAGGGCCCCTACACAGGTTATGTTACCCTGAGGCGTAGAGTGTGTATGGGGTGTGTGGGGCATGTATCAGTTGTGTGAGATGCACTGAGCTTATCTCTCAAGGGGTCGACGGCGAACTTCCGAAGAAAAACCTATTCTCTCTGCGTTTGTGGTCTCCTCATGAGAAAGCAAACATCAGGAAAAAATGTCTCAAGTTGTTACTCGATAATCTAGATTAGTGAAACTCTGGTGAGCCGCTTCAAAAATGTTTTTGCCTGGCTGTTTTATGGTGTGGCAATGCTGTAGTTAAGGCCTGGTTAGGTTTAGGCACACAAAGCACTTGGGTAGCATTGGGGAAAGACAATGGCTTGGGTTAAAATGATCACCTGAACTACGGAACATGAAATTTCACAGGAGGCATGCTTTAGCATCTAGACACGACCACGCTTGATGGACTTGACATTTAACAAAGTCGCATGGAAAAACATTTTAGGTCAAATGTAGTGTCCTGTCTGCAACCCATTCTGCTTTAATTGTTCTTAAATTACATTACTTTTATAATCCCCACTCCCTCTACTCAAAAACATTGGTGCATTTGTGTGCAGGTCTAATTTGGATGTTTGAGATGTTTCATGGACACATCACTCATGCCAAGAGTTCTAGGATGTTGATAAGTGACCCATTAGATGTGATCCTTTTTCCCCACATTGATTTCTGTGTACGACAAACGTATAAGAAACAAAACAAGGCTAAGTAAATTTATTATAGCCAAGGGGAAAAAAGGACAAAAAAGACACAACTTTAATTCACAGTCAACAATTTATCTCCATTTTATTAAAATGAACAAAACATGAAAATATAAAACTACAAACATCACAAAAATGATGCCTGACAATCTTTTTAGGAATGTTAAAAACTGAAACAAGCAGTAGTAACATAACATAATGTGCTTTTTGAAAGGATTTACAAACAAAAATATCTTCAGTTCACTTAAAATCAATATTAATTAAAAAGGCACAAATTTAAACTCATGTATAGCAGAAACAAACACAGAACAATAAATAACAGTGTATGACAGAAATAACTTTGGTAACTGGCAGTTTCATGGCGGGGTGAGATGACCACAGAGGCACCTATGGTAAAAAATCATGTGCCAGGTGCAAAAAAGGGGTTTGCAGATGGCTGGGGCATCATTTCAGTGTTGGCTGCAGGGAGATGGTAAATGACTCCAGGTGTATTTTGTGTTACTAAGTTGTTGCTGTAAAGAGTTGGAGCGAATCCGCTGGTGCTGTATTGGTTCAGGTCAATCATTTGTGAACCGCTGGGTGGAATCATGAATGGACCAGTGCCAACGCAAGTAGCCTCATTGGTTATGGAGCCAACTTCAGCAGACATGGAAGCACTTGGCCATGTGGAGTACTGCCCCTGAAGTAACAACCCTCTCTGCTGCATTCCCAGCCTCCCCCATTCTGGTACCTGCGGAGTTGCTCCACTCTGTCCAAACAACTGCAGAGAGGAGTGGCTAGCTTCCTGCTGTGGGTGAATCTGGCTTGAGTACAACCCTCTTGTAGTCTGCCCTTCATATTGGTATGAACTCCAAGCATATACAGGAGGGGTGTTTGGCGTTGGGTTACTTCTAACAGCCTCGAAAGACAAATAACCTGACTGTCCAGTTGTGACGCAAGCCATTTGGCTATACTGACCATACCCTCCTGAGGGGTCACCGGGGCTTACTGTGGACAAACTGTGAGTGGCCTGATTGCCCCTGTTCACCTCAGTGTTGCCCTGTTCATTATAGTCTACCACAAACTGCTGCTCAGGGGGTTTTGGCCTGACCGTTACGATGGTGTTAATGGGCAACTGAGGAACCCCAGTGCCGTCAGTCTCTGTGTAATATCGTGGCTGTGGTATCTGACTTGGATTATCATTGGTGACTGTACAGTGGATGGGAATGGGGTTGGATTGGTTTCCAAAGATGTTGTGAGCACTGTCACTTCTCTGCTGTTGTGGGTCAGTGGGGTCAACAGTGCTGGCAGATGGTAACATGGTACTGAAGGCTTTGGCTTCAGTTGCTCTGAACAAAAGGTTGCCCCGCGTTGAAGTGGAACCCTCAGGAGATGAGCTGCTGGCTGAGTAAAAAGAGCTGGCATTAGGGGTGACAAGTTGGTTCTCATGGCCCAAAACCACAGGAGCAGCTGTTGAGAACATCTCCTCTGATACGTTAGAAGGGGGTGGATTGTTTGTTACTTTAACCAGCTCCCACTTTAAATCCCATCTTGTTGTTTTTTGGACCACCGTAGTCTGCACAGAATTTGGATTCCATACTCTTTCAACACCACTTTCGGAGGAATTGCTAGCACAGGAGGTATTAGTATTACCATTATTTGGAGCTAACGTGCGAGGGGACGCATGTACCTCAGACTTCATCTTTCTTACAAGAGCAATTAGTTCATCAAACTTTGTCATGTCCATGACTGGTGTGTCTTGTTCTGTGTCTCCATCCTTAAGAGACATGAGGGTGGAGGTTGCAGCAGGATTAACAGAAGTGGGCTCAGTGGCTGATTCGGTGCTGGGCTGACTGTTAGGCTGTAGCTCACTGCATGTCTGTTTGGCTGGAAAAGGATCCTCTGCAAACTTTGTCATGTCCATGACTGGTGTGTCTTGTTCTGCGTCTCCATCCTTAAGAGACATGAGGGTGGAGGTTGCAGCAAGATTAACAGAAGTGGGCTCAGTGGCTGATTCGGGGCTGGGCTGACTGACTGGAAAAGGATCCTCTGCAAACTTTGTCATGTCCATGACTGGTGTGTCTTGTTCTGTGTCTTTGTCCTCAAGAGACATAAGGGTGGAGACTGCAGCAGGATTAACAGAAGTGGACTCAGTGTCTGATTCGGGGCTGGAATGACTGACAGGCTGCAGCACATTGCATGTCTGTTTGGCTGGAATAGGTTCCTCAAGTTGAGGGTTACTTGTGCAAGATCTCATGGATGTTTCAACAGATTCATCAGCTTTTCTTTTCCTGGCTGGACGGCATTTATCTCTGGGGGACTCTGACAGGATCTGACTGGTTTGAGGACTAATAACAGAGTCGGACAAGGATTCTGAGTGTACCTCTGCCTGGTTAACTTCCAACTCTGGCATCAGGCTCTGGTGTTGAGGAAATTGGGTTCTGGGTTCTGGCTGGTCTTGGGGACTGAGACATGTATCAGCACCAAGGATAGAAGACGTGACAGAATCAGTTGTGGAGGAGACACTGGTCACATGCGGAGGACTCAAGGCTCTTCCTTGCTTGACCTTGTCCAAATTTCCAACCATCTCTTCCAAACGAGGTTTCTCAGTTTTCTGTCTTGCTCCTAAGAGAGACAGTGGAGAAGGAATGGAGTCTTTTATAAATTTTCATATATATAAGAAATTATTTCCAGTATTGTCAGATTCCCAAAGTGAAGCGGCATTCAACCTGCCTAAATCAGGGCATTAGAGCCCTATTGATTTTATTCTTAACATTTGTAGTACACTGCAGATACACTGCTCAAGAGCTTAGAGCTACATTTGGTGATTTTTATGAAAATGACTTTTATCATCTTTGCTAAAACTGCCACTATATTCTAAAAGAAGTTCATGAGACAGTTAATCTATGAGAAAAAATCAACCAGTCAAATCCAAGCTAGGCAGCGCTGATCAAATATGAATCAATATTCTGTTACTGCATTGCCTGTTTCTCGACTCAAATGTTTTCAGAAACGTATTTTAGTGTACTGTTTAGCAGTAAAATGAGAAAGTTTGTGACGTGGCCACCATGTTGGAGATATTGCCACCAAGCACCACCGACTGGCTGGTCCAACTTTCTCATTCTACAGCCAAACAGTACACTAAAATATGTTTCTGGAAACATTTGAGGTGAGAAACAGGCAATGCAGTAACAGAATTTTTGATCAGCAGTGCCTAGTTTGGCAGACCACAGTTCACGAGCAGTGACTGTCCTTGGCTCTGATTGGTTGCTTTCATTCATGTGCAGTAATGTCACTGAGGCAATTTGAGAGGGCAGAGGAATATGATATATTTCTTTTTTATTAACAGGTCATCTGTGTCATGCACTTCTTTGTTGATGTAGTGACAGTTTCAGCAAATAGGACAAAAATGTTTCTTTTAAAGTTACCAACTACAGCTTTAACTGATTAATTTGAGTTTATAAATATGCATGTAAATATACAAATTTTTAAAAGCACCAGAAAACATGAGTACACACTTCATAATCTAAAAGTATTTAAATCATTGTAGAATTACCATGACAAACCTGTAAGTATTACACAAGTCATACCAGTTTCTGATCAATAAACATTGACTGGAATTCTGTGATACTTTAGATTGAAAACAGCTTAACTCAGAGTGCTGTTATTTTGTACAAGGTCATGCAAGTCTGTTACAAAAGTGGACTTCAACTTAAATATTATAAATAATAGGCTGAATCCCAGCATTACCACCTCTTTGGTCCGTCTCAGGTGGCGGTTCTGTCTGCGTCTCCATGGGAAGAGATTCCTCTGGACTCTGCTGGGCCTCAGGCTCCTGGTCTGTGCAACAGAAACCAAAACTCTTCTTTCTCATATTCTGCCTGTATTAGTCACTTAAGTTAACCTGTATATAAGAATGAGAAACAAATGACCCTGTAACTGGGCTCACGGAACTCACCCTTTTGTTCTAGTGTACAGATGACTTGCCAGGGGACGCTCAATTTCTTTGCTTTGTAGATTTTTTGAACCATCATTAAAGCTACAAAAAGAAAAATAGCACAGTTGATACTAAATACAGTATACTCCCATGGACCATACACTGTGTAGACGTTGCAAATTAAGTTTACTTTTACCTTCACTGAAAGGAGCTTTCTGAACCATTTTATATAACTCCGGCCTCAGCATGATAACCTTTGTGAGAAAAGACGAAAACAGGGCAACAATTAGCATGGTGAATATTTATTTCCACTTTGTACACTGACTTATTTTTTTAGTTGTTTTTAGGTAGAACTGTGAAATCATAAGACACATATCTTGGGAGAAATGAAATGACACATATTACAAGTATAATTATGTTTGACTTTCTTAAGTGCTTGTGTAGTAATGTCTTAACTTCTCCTGTGCTCGATCGGAGTATCATAAATGTAACATTAGGGGTCTTGGAATTAGGGGTGGGCGATACAATGACTATGTACAATGTATTGGTATATTTTCAAGCAAGATATAAATTTAGACAACACCATTTATATCCATATAGGGTCAAGTTGCATTATATGACGCATACCAGAGTGAATCTCTCCCCTCTCACATTCTCCACACAGCTCCGCCCCACTCACTCACTCACAAGTTCTCCCGCAACACTTTTTAGAGCCGTAGCCTGACGTGCACCTCCCCAGAAATTAAACTACACGTCTTGGCAACGCAGACCTCCTGTCTTTACTTTAATTTCACAGATAATAAATAATAAATAGTGAAGACAGTAAAGGCTCCACAGAACTAGCACTTTAAGTCTTGTGTGTGGTTTATCCTGGTTTCATATGAGCAGAGAAAATCTCAGCTATTCACTAGGCTAATTTATACAATGTAATGCCATAGACTTGTGCTAACAATGTTAGCATCTCCTTTTTGTTTGGAAAACGTGTTAAGTAGAAGACAGTTGTTTTGTTGCTGAACCTTGTGAGTTGTAATGAAGCCGAATTATGTAACGTTGCCTTTGTTAAATGTTACTGTTGTCCCTGGCTTCATATGAATAGAGGAAAAGTTTGCTAGTGCAGCTGCATATTTTCAAACAAGGGAATAAAATCCTTGTCTTTGCAGTTTATTTTGATCACAGTCTGTTTTTATAAAACTGCTTGTGACATCTCAAATGTGGGTTTGACTTGCAACTGAAAACATGCAGCCCATTTCTTATAATATACCGAGACATACAGTGGTGTGAAAAAAGTGTTTGCCCCCTTCCTGATTTCTTACTTTTTTGCATGTTTTCCACACTTAAATGTTTCAGATCATCAAACAAATTTAAACATTAGTCAAAGATAACACAAGTAAACACAGGGTTTTATTAATGAGGAAGAAAAAAAATCCAAAGCTACATGGCCCTGTGTGAAAAAGTGTTTGCCCCCTATACCTAATAACTGGTTGGGCCACCCTTAGCAGCAACTACTGCAATCAAGCGTTTGCGATAACTTGCAATGAGTCTTTTACAACACTGTGGAGGAATTTTGTCCCACTCATCTTTGCAGAATTGTTGTAATTCAGCCACATTGGAGGGTTTTCGAGCATGAACCGCCTTTTTAAGGTCATGCCACAGCATCTCAATAGGATTCAGGTCAGGACTTTGACTAGGCCACTCCAAAGTCTTCATTTTGTTTTTCTTCAGCCATTCAGAGGTGGACTTGCTGGTGTGTTTTGGATCATTGTCCTGCTGTAGAACCCAAGTTCGCTTCAGCTTGAGGTCACGACCAGATGGCCGGACATTCTCCTTCAGGATTTTTTGGTAGACAGCAGAATTTATGCTTCCATTTATCACAGCAAGTCTTCCAGGTCCTGAAGCAGCAAACAGCCCCAGACCATCACACTGCCACCACCATATTTTACTGTTAGTATGATGTACTTTTTCTGAAATGCGGTGTTACTTTTACGCCAGATGTAATGGGACACAGACCTTCCAAAAAGTTAAACTTTTGTCTCGTCAGTCCACAGAATATTTTCCCAAAAGTCTTGGGGATCATCAAGATGTTTTCTGGCAAAAATGAGACAAGCCTTAATGTTCTTTTTGCTTAGCATTGGTTTTCGTCTTGGAACTCTGCCATGCAGGACATTTTTGCCCAGTCTCTTTCTTATGGTGGAGTCATGAACACTGACCTTAACTGAGGCAAGTGATGCCTGCAGTTCTTTAGATGTTGTTGTGGGGTCTTTTGTCACCTCTTGGATGAGTCGTCTTGGGGTAATTTTGGTTGGCCGGCCACTCCTGGGAAAGTTCACCACTGTTCCGTGTTTTCGCCATTTGTGGATAATGGCTCTCACTGTGGTTCGCTGGAGTCCCAAAGCTTTAGAAATGGCTTTATAACCTTTTCCAGACTGATAGATTTCAATTACTTTTTTTCTCATTTGTTCCTGAATTTCTTTGAATCTCGGCATGATGTCTGTAGCTTTTGAGGATCTTTTGGTCTACTTCACTTTGTCAGGTAGGCCCTATTTAAGTGATTTCTAGATTGGGAACAGGTGTGCAGTAATCAGGCCTGGGTGTGGCTACAGAAATTGAACTCAGGTGTGATGAACCACAGTTATGTTTTAACAGGAGCTGGGGGGCAAACACTTTTTCACACAGGGCCATGTAGCTTTGGATTTTTTTCTTCCTCATTAATAAAACCCTTCATTTAAAAACTGCATTTTGTGTTTACTTGTGTTATCTTTGACTAATGTTTAAATTTGTTTGATGATCTGAAACATTTAAGTGTGGAAAACATGCAAAAAAGTAAGAAATCAGGAAGGGGGCAAACACTTTTTCACACCACTGTATATTGTGTATCGCCAAAAAGGTTTGTTAGTGTTCATCATCGCAGGAGAGTAATGACATTTGTCAGGTAGTAAAGCTGTAGACCAGACTAAAGTGCCTAAAGTGAGAGAATCAGCCTTATCTTGTGGAAAGGTGACAAATGGGGTCAAGCCTTGACCTTTGGGAGAACTAGCAGAGGTTAGTTATTAACGACCAGAAAAGTCAAAGCTGATAAATCAGTCTTGTCTAAAAGGAGTATGAACAAAGAAAGGCACACAAGATGGGACTGCTCCAAGGTATAAAGAAGAGCAGCTTCTCATCAGGGTGCACATTTTGAATGTCCCTTTGCTGTGTAACATGCTCTGAGCATTATTTAAGTGTGACAATACCAGTGCTTTACCTATATGTATTCAGCAGCAGCACTGCAATATAAAAGTCTGCCCATATGCAATTAACTCACTATCTCTACTTTAGGCGACAGATTCAGGGACGAGCAAGGGTTATAAATAGAACATTCTCAGATAAGGGTGCTCTGATCGACTGGCCACTAATCCTTACTGGACTATATTCATATTAAATAGTTTGAAGGACGATCAGATGGCGCAAATCATGCAGCACAATTTCTCTACATGCCACTAAAATGGCTTCACTGGTCTGGTGCTTCTGACAAACTGTAGCTCACACTGAACATTCATTGTTACATTCATGGTTTGCTGCTAACCTGACATCCAGCTCAGCTGCCTGTCCCAAGTGCAGGCACGCTGTCTCCACCTCTCCTTGTTCGCCACATGCAAACCACACTGAATGCTTCTAGAGAGGCTTCGATACACTCTGCTGTTTTCTGACAGTGTTTATGCTTACTGTTGTTTGGTCCTGTATTGTGCCCGCACAACCGACATGGCATCTTCATGTATACCAGCTATTTCTCATCTGAATTTCTGCAAAATTTGAGTTGTTTTTTTCTCTGGCAACTGGAAATGCAGGGTTGATCAGAGGAGAGCTGGGGCAGTTCTAACAGTTTTTGGTTTTGATGTCATTATTCAAAAACTTCAACTATTTGAATACATTTTTATATAGCTAACTTGTATCTGTGCTCAACTTGTTAACAATCATCCAAGATTTTTTCAAGCAACGTTAGAGGCACAATATTGATTGAAACACTGATGTCAAATGTTACATCTGCCCCAGAGTGTGGATACCCAAGCCCAAAGGGACTTGTCAGAACCCGACGGGCCGGGCCGGGCCAGGTTTGGATAACAAATCAGAAATTTTGCTCGGGTTTGGCCAACTTGACATGCTGCTGTGTTGTGCTATGGCCTATTCAAGTGCTGGAATTTGTTATTTACATGACAACGCCTGAACACAGGCTCCGCTCCAACGGTGTGTGCTGTGCTTTGCTGCTGTGCTGCTGTGTGTGCGGCGTGTTTGACTGTGCATAACAGTAGCCTTTTGATAGCCATTTACACAATGTCCATGTATGATCACGGTAAACAGACAAGCTGTATCCATGATAACAATAACTATGTCAGGTAACAAACTGCGTCTCAGGTCGGGTTCAGACTTAAAAATCAGAAAGGCTGTAGCGTTCAGGCTGTGCTCGGATATTACTGTCTTGGACTTGGGTCGGGTTCGGTTCAGGAAAATGTAGCCTGAGCCGCACTCTAATCTGCCCCTATATGCAGGAGCCATTGGAACGGCATAAGGGGTATGGGAAGCATTTTATCAAATGTAATTCGACATCTACTACTGTGTACAAATATGTGTCTTAAGCCGTTCTCATGTTAGCAGACACATTAAATATCTTCTGGCAGCTCAAAATAAAACTCACGCCCTTCAGCATTGCTGCTGGAAAAAAATCCTGGGTGAAAGAATAAGATTTTTGTCTTATTCCTTTTTGTCAGAGAGGAACTGCAACATTTGTCCACCATAAATGACAATTTCTTTCAGTGCTTATCAAAAAGACTACAAATATGTTTAATTACACGCCGTGCACAAATTATCCTATAGACATTAGAGATAGCATGCACAATATATGGACCTATATATTACCTGCGCATCAATCTCGTTGTAACGCTCCTGTTGTGCCACCCTCTCAGCAACGCCGTTAAAAATCTTCTCTTTATGCTCTTCAGGCAGGTCATACTCCATGAAGGACAGAAACTGAGGTTTCAACCTCCGCTGCAACACATGCATCATATCAGATAAAAAACATGGGCGCAAATGTTAAATACTATTGTTGTTTGAAGGTTTTTAATGCATTATTGAGACGAAACTCACCATGTAATTTTCCTGGTGTTTTTTGCTGACCATGTGTGAACAGATGTCACTGATGGAGAGTGTCTCTGCACAGCTCTCACACAGGTAGAATGGATTCAGAAATACCCCTTGACACTCCCACACAGAGCTCAGACCTGATGATGACACACTGTCGTTAGCATATTGTATGCTTTTGAGATGATACAAACCACTGGAAATGAAAATGATTTACTGTGAAAGGAGGGACACACCCACCTATGACTGTATCAGGGTCGTATCCCTTCACCATCAAGTAGTGTTTAAACAAATTACTGCTGCCCTCGATGCTTTGCCCTGTGACAGCCAGGCAAAATAACAAATCAGTACAACAGCAACATTTGCAACATGGTCATATTAGGCCATTTTTAGTATGAGCAAAGCAGTGCATTCTCTGTTGGTGAAGGTGTATGACAAACAACAGACATACCTGCTATTCCTGTGTCTTCAGTGCTAGGATCTGCGATGGGCTCATTTTTATTCACAATCAAAGAAGAATGAGGCTGGTCTGAAATCAGATGGTCAGCTTCTGGCTCTGAACTCTTCATGCTCTGAGCTCTGTCTGATTGACCCACAGCAGGAGTTTCTCTCTTTTCTGAAGTGGATTCAATTTCTGAATTAAAAGGAGCAATATATTAAAAAGTCTGGACTTTAAAAAAAATTAATATCTCATGACACAGAGTCTGAAATCTTGTATTTAAGCGTGTTGGTTCTCACCATTGGCACCAAATCCACTTTATCCAAAACCGACAGCTTTTCTCTCACTATTGATAACTCCTCCATTTCATCCTCCCCCCAGGTTAAGAGTCTGGGCGTCATCCTTGACAGCACACTATCCTTTCACTCCCACATCAATAACATTACCCGGTCTGCCTACTTCCACCTACGAAACATCAATCGTCTCCGCCCCTCACCTACCCACACTGCCGCCATCCTTGTCCACAGCCTTGTCACTTCCCGTCTTGATTACTGTAACTCTCTCCTTTTCTGCCTCCCTCACAAATCCCTCCATAAACTTCAACTGGTCCAGAACTCAGCTGCCCGTATCATTACTCGATCCCCCTCCATCCACCACATCACTCCTGTCCTCCAACAGCTCCACTGGCTCCTGGTTCAGTTCCGTATTCAATTTAAAGTCCTCCTGTCCCCTCCGCCCACCTCACCACCATGGGGAGCAGGGCATTCAGCCGCTCTGCTCCCCGTCTCTGGAATTCATTACCACCCCAACATTGAAACATCGATTCACTCCCCCATTTCAAATCACAACTCAAAACACATCTGTTTAAAACTGCCTATTCCATCTGATGCCAATTGCTCTGTCACTTTCTATTGTTTTTTTTTTTTTGTTTTTGTTTTTTAAATTGTTGTTTCTTTTTAATGTCTTTTTAATGTCATTTTGTGTATCTGTACGGTGTCCTTGAGTGCCAAGAAAGATGCCTTCAAATAAAATGTATTATTATTATTATTATTATTATTATTGTTATTACCTGAAACTTGGACCAAATGCGTTTGGAGCTCATGTCTCCTCTCTTGCTGTGACTGGATATCAGTAGAACGTCCTTTATTTTGTTGCATGCACATCCCTGAGAGAAAAACTGTATTCATTAGTATTCCACACGTCTGTGCCTCATTCACAGGTCTTCTTATAACACCACAAAAGACACGTGAGTTTCTCAAGTTATCAAAAATTAAAACCCCTAATATACCTCAGCTGGGGCAACAATATGTCCAAAAACAACAAAGATCCACTCAGAAATGTATTAAGGGTGAAAGATACAGATACAACTTGAATAGTGCTTAGAAAGGACACTTGAATTTACCATCATCTGGGCTTGAAATTTCCCATGGACTGGAAGAGGGAACTTGCTGTCTCCAAGGCTCTGCAGTATCAGTTGAGGAGGGCGATGACAGGTCCATGTCTCTCTCTATCAACTTTTCTTTCAGTTTTTCAATAGCTGAGAATAAAGAGCGAGAGAATGAATGAAAACAAATGAGCATACTGTATGAAGAAAACAATCCACTGTCATGAATATGAGTAAAAATCTGTGAGTAATTTTCCTGGGGAGCTGATCATTTATCAGAAGATGTTTCTTTAAATACAAATGGGACAGATACTGTACACATGCATAGGTTTACCAAAACTAAACTGTAGCTAATAATTTCAGCAAGCACTCATCTGTGTATTGGCAAGAGTCTGGCGATGATACAATGATGATTCAATATTTTGGGACATATTGCGATACTACAAGCAAGGTGATATATTGTGATTTTTAAAATCCAATTTTAGGAAAATTGTCATAGTATAAGCAGAGCTCATTGAAACGGAAGAGCGGATGAGGAGAGAGAGGGAGCAACAACAGGCAGAGAAACATGTCTGAATCCAGCTAAAGATAAACACAGACGTTCATTTCTCCTTTCCGTTATGTTGTCGGATAATTACTGTATACTAACAATCCGAACCTATCTGTGTGAAAAAACTGCACTTTTAGTGGACGTAATTTGACGTTGTTTAACGCTGTCTGAGCGCCCTATTATTTAACATGCGCTCATGGGCTGCAGGCAGGTCAGCCCTAGCTTCATACTGGAGAAATGTCAAATATTGAACATCCTATCACTCATTTAGACAAAAGTAGATCGGAAAATAGGGCCCAGGTTGAAAAAACATTAGTTCCCCTTTAAGGGTTATATCTGTAATATTTGAACTCTGTATGAACCTGATAGAGATCTGCATGCACATATGAATTGACTGAATCCTGCCACGGCTAGGGATGGGTAAAGTCAGTGAACAGCAGAGAGGCCGTAATGGAAAGGAAGTGGAGATAAATCAAAAATTACTCGAGTTGACGGCAGCCACAGCTCGTTACTGTAGGTGCAATTAAACCTTTGAGTAAAAAGCCAGTACTTTATCGATACTCGTGGTTAGCAAACATAAACATGTAATCATGCAGATATTTTCTTCTGCTTTCTTTCAAGTCCCTAATCCACTGCTGCTAACATTATATTTTACACAAGGACAGCACAGAGTTTGACTAATAGTGAATTGTTACAAATGTGACAAAAAGTGACAGCTGTCTGTATGTAGTGTAACCGTTAAAATCCTTAAAGTTGGGCAAACACATTCAAACTAAGCTACTGGCTTAGAGAAACAGCCCCTCCTCTCTCTACCAACACTAATGTTACCTGCACACAATGAATCGCATCAGCAGAGTGGGAGCAAGACAGAGCACAGGAGGACAGGAGGACAGGAGATCGGGCATGAGGAATGACTTACAGTGACTGAAAAATACTAAACTTCACTCAGTATTTTGACGTCAGGAATATTATTTGCAGTTATAAAAATTATATTGAAAATTCAGTAGTTCTGCTCTGAATTTGTTTGTTTTTAAATTAATATATTTTCTAAAAAGCAATTATTTAGTAAAGAAAAAGAACCAATAAGAGTATCGATAAAGTACCAAACGATAAGGAGCATTGATAAGAGTAGTAGTATCGATAAAATCTTAATGATACCCATCCCTAGCCACAGCTGTGATGGCGTTACGGACAAAGAGGTGTAATTACACTAACTGGTGCAGGTAAAAAAAAAGTGAGGTGCATGTAATTTCAAAAATTACACGCACCAGTGCATACGCAGAGAATGCGCAGAGAATAAGATGCTGGAAGTGCTTTCTTTATGAAGGGCTGGGATGAAGCGCTCCCCAGCGCCCTGCCACCACTTTTCTCCTGAGGAAAAATGCTATGTTGTCCCCTAAAGGGACAAGTGGACCTGAACCAAGGGGTTAATTGCATGCTGCTATTTTGTCTCTTCGACCACACTGTTGTAGCAGTGCAGCACTAACTTGGGAGCAATAAATCGAAAAAACAAGATCATGAAGTATTACACTGGTAGGAATTGCTTTACCTTGTTAATATGGACTTCAAAACTGTTTTGAAATACAAAACTAAGGAATTTTAAACCTGCGATTAAAAATGTGTGATCAATCAGTTATTAACTGTAATTCAGGGATTAATGACAATTTAAAAAAAAAAAAAAACATCTTATGAAATCCCTTATTTTAACAATTTATTTTTAATTGACAAATATATTTTCTATTTTAAATATAGTTTTACATCACAATCACACTTTATAGGAATACAGGCTTTTTCACTAATTATAAAAAACAACCGTACTGTGCTGTGCCTGGATAGTTCCACAAGTTCTGTACTAATATTGCTGAACAGTTTTACAAATAGCAGTCGGGCTGCTCTTGGTCATTATTTTTTATTTTTTTATTTATTTTTTTTTTTTACATTTTCAGTCACTTTGAATTAGATTTTTGGGGAGTTATTGGGATATCTTTACCTTCATCCTCTGAAAGTCTAGCCAGCTCTTTGTACTCATCAATCTTCACTTCCAGTCTCTAGCAGAAAGAACGACAAAAACACTCATACAACTGTAATTAAAAGCAATAACAAGCTAATTTTAAAGCTGCCTTAAAGCAGATTAACAACCACACACAGTGTCAATTTGGGGTCATTTTGAATGTTGAAGAAGACTCGAGTGGATCACCTTGATGTCATGGGATCTTATGTCCTTCTCAACCTCAGCCAAGTGGTTTGCTTTCTCAACGACTTGGCCATGAGTCTTGCCAATCCAGCCAGGGTAGCGCATCCTCTAGCAAGATCATTAGGAGCACACAGTTAGCATCTGTTCTACTGCCCTGCTTTACAAGCTTCTTATATTTTCTATAATGAGACTTATGAAGTACAAACCAAATAGCCTAACACGTGGATAAATTCACACGTATGACTGGACTGCTGCAACCTGACTGAACACAGCTGACAGTAGACTTGCTGTCTTCCTTGACACGTCACTGCAATCAACTGGTTTAAGCCTATAAAGTAAACAAACAATGCAGACAACTGATTAAATCAGATAGAGACAATTCTTAAAAACTTACCGAGTGATTTTTCCAATATACACTCACCAGCTTTATTAGGTACACCTGCCTGACTGTATTAATAGCCAATATCTAATCAGCCAATCACATGGCAGCAACATGATGCATTTCAATTGCAGACATACACATACATGTCTCTTCCTCTCCTCTCTTTCTGTGAGCAGGCAGGCAGGAGAGAGTTAACTATGGTTACATGAATCGGCATTACCAGGTCATTTTATCATGAGCCTATATGTATATGTATATGTATATGTAAGCCTATGTGATGTTTGACAAAAAACGTGATAGTCTTTGTAACATGGATGTTGTCATGCCTGTTGAAATAAATGCAGGTCTGTTTGTGCGTGTGTTCTATTTTTTTTTCTATTTCACTATGCAAATACTGTACACTATGCCGGCATAAACAGCAACCCGACTGGCACTCCCTGGTTTAAAGCCATGGTATGGAAGCATTTTGGCCTCTATGAAGTTGGAAAAAAAGGATCTGTACATAAGCCAGATGGTATGCAAGTAAAGTGTGCGATCATTTGTGGTGGGCCGGTCGTGGCCAAAACGCCTAGGCCAACTTTTTGTCCCAGTCCACCCCCGCACTCCTGTCCGCTAAGGACATGAAACTCTGTAGTAGTAGTAGTAGTATACTGTAGTAGCAAGGTGTACCTAATAAAGTGGCCTATTAGTACAAATAATAATACTTACCAATTCTGGGAAGGCTTTGACTTGTCTTTGTATGTGATGGGTCTGTGTGTGGATTCTTGTTTTCAGACCTGGCAGTGAGATGGGGAGCTGCAGGTGCCTTACTCTTAGCAGCATTTGGTGCAACATCAGAAGCCGAACTCACTGAATTCTTCATGGGTGCAGTCTTGACAGAGGCCACAGTATTTTCACATGCAACCAACGTTTTAGACATTTTAGCAGTGGCTACAGATGTTCCCATAGTTTGAGATGCAACCGCAGTTTTAGATGCATTTTCAGAATTTTTGGAGGCGTTTTCTGATTTGGAAGCAGTTCTGCAGGCGGCTTTACGCACTACTGTGGATTCTGATTTAGGGGCGGTGGCAGTTTTGTGCGAAGTTGCTGAAACTTTGGCTGCAGCTCCAGTTCTGTTTTCAAGTGGTTTGGACATTGATGGGATGGAGCTTGCTGTAGATTTGCTGGCGGGTTCTCTCAATTTGGTGTTTGTTGTAGTACAGCTGGAGGTTGCAGCTGTATGACGGGAGCAGGGTGTCGTTGATTTGGTGGTGTCCGGAGTAGAATTGGAAGATTTGTCTGTAAACTTGGAGATGGCCGTCATGGATGTGGTGGTTACAGTAGAGTCTAAAGCTGCTGCAGTTTGGGAGGTCCCCACTGTTTTGGAAGTGGTTGCTGTTTTTAAAAGTCCCACAGTTGTGTTTGAAATGATTTTGACTTTGTTCTCGCTACCTCTGCAAACAGTCATGTTGGTGTTAACGTTCTCAGCTGACTCAGACACTTTGATATGGGTCATTGAGACATCTTCGTTTGATTCACGAGGGACTCTGGTTTCATCGGAGGTGGTTTCTGAGGATGGCTGTGCCTTAGAGTCTTCTGGATCATCATCAATCTCCATATTCACCACCTATGAAATGAAATGAAACAACTGTATTCAGCTGATTGCTTATTTTTCTGTTTTTAAAGAGCTACAAAGTACAGATGCCCAGCTTACGTTTTTTGTTGCCATCTATAGAGATTGTAGAATCTATGACCCATATTGGCCAATATAGAGCTGTCATTGTTGTAGTAGCTGGTATAGTTGTATTACAGTATAGTTCAGTTTGACTGCTTCATGATATATTGGGATCTCCACAAGGGGGCAGCATAATCTAGATTATTCCTTTCTTGGATAATGTACAAACTGCACGTTATTTTACTTCTTGTTCAATTTGTGGTAATGTTACCTTACCTCTAACCTTTACGATTCGTTTTTGTATACGGTGTTATTGATCGTTTTGATAATCAACTCAGTCTTTCAATAGTGAGGTTACCCAGTTAGCTAGCTTAGCTGACTACTGAAATTAGGAAGAGTGCTGTCAAGTTTATGAGGAGGGCGGTCAGCTCTGCTCTATGGAGCTTTACTGCTCACTTTCACAGCTTGCAAGCACGGCCTGTAAAAAGAATCATTTTGACAAAACGTTAGCCAAGAGCTCTGAAAATCAGGCTAGCTTGGTGCTACACTATGTGACTCGCTAATCCCTCATATTTTAGATTATTTCAGATGAATTGGGCTGCATTCCCATGGAAATCACGCTCATTGTGGTCCAATGCTGGGTCTACCGTTTGTATCAGTGGCTGAAGAAACTTTGCTTTCACTCGTCTCTGCAGCAGCTGCTCCTCTTATCTTATCCACTGATCTAATCTGATCAGCTCTGATCGATCGAACCACAAACTGATTGCAAGGAAGTCTTGAATGTGATGATCAAACAGTTTTTTTTTAAGTTTTTAAAATAAAAAGTCAAGAAAACTTCCACTTGCCCGTAAAAACCTCCCACATTCAGAGAAGGGATAAAGACTGATCCCAAAGAGACAATAATGTCTTTCTCTCTCAGACCTATGCTACTCGTACAACAATGGCAGGTGACTGATGCCCCCCCCTACTACACTTAGAACAGTTATCTCATTATCTGTTTCATCAGCTTAACATTTAGTTTGACTTCTGTAGGACATATACAAACAGCAGAAAATAATTTTGTCAACCTGATGGATGCCAAATTGACTGACCTGGTAGTCGTCCTGGTAGGTAGGTTGAACGCCAGGCGAAGCTGAGGTCGAGGGAAGATCATGCCCACTGTCCTGCTGATTCTTAAGGGCCTTCACTGTCTGTATGGCTGTGTACATGATGGAAAATACAGAAGACATGGTGTACGGCAAATGTTCTGACTTTTGCTTTCACCTGTTGACTGAATCACATTAGCTTAAAACAAAACTATTAAGTACAAACAACATTCTCAAAATTATGGAAAGATGTGGCCTTACCTGATTTGAAGTCTTGCTGTGAGATTTTATTGAAAGTCTCATCATCCAGATCAACAGCCTGGAGTTCAGAAATACATTTTAAAAACCTTTCATTACACTCTATTTGAAACAACTCTTTATCTCAGTTGTCTACATAAAAACACTAAAGATCTGTGTTCTGTGACCTAGAATACAGTTTGCGTGTGGACAAAAGGACAAAATGCATGGAGAAAGCTATATTTTAAAATACACCTGTGTATGTGTGAACTAGGCGCCAGTTTAGGAAATGACAGTTACAACAATATCCACAAATAAAAGGACCAGGACCAAACCTCAGCTTCTCCATATCCATTTTCTTGTTCAAACAATTCAGCCAAATGTCTGACTGAGTCCCTCTGATGCATTCCTGGTGAGAGGTTCTGTAACACCTAATATGAAAAACATACACATGAGAAAGCATTACTACTACAAAACAGACAGAAAGTAGAAAACAGAAGAAAATGTTCTGGGGCCGGTTGCATCAGACCCCCAGGAAGTGCGCCAGACTTTGAAGCCAATTTGACATGTTGACCAAAGTGTATAACTACAGCTTCTGGGTCCATTGTGTGATGCCATCTGGCTCAAAAAGACTTTTTCACCATAGACTTATATTGGAAAAAAGCTGTCTGTCAGTCAGTGGATAAATGTTTTTGAGCATAACAACCCCTGTGAAATGACTCATGTCACTGAAGGGATTTGATCCATTCAATCTGATAACATTTTAAAAGTCTGTGAGAGCCGCATGACTAGGGTTGGGATCCGGATCCGGTTCTTTTTTGGAACCGGGTTCAAAGTTCCGGTTCCGGACCCGGTTCCATCACATTTGGCGTAACCGTTCCTGCAAACGGTTCCTAGATTGTAAAAAAACAAACAAACAAAAAAAAAACCGTGCATTTCCATTGGAGTGCGGCACGGGCCAAGCCCGACATTATCTAATCACTAAAGCACTGAGTGACACAGTTGTCATGGTTACAGACTATTTAACAGGCCGGGCGTGCCTGCTCAGCGGAGAGGGAGACCTCCGTGTTTGAGACGGGAGCAGGCGACGGGAGTGGGCGGCAGGAGGTCCGACGCTTCCAGCGAGGGGAGAGGGAGAAATAAAACAAAATAAGATAAAATATGAGACACCTGTCTCCCTCTTTTATTTAATTTTCAGCATTTAATCAAGGCGGAGGCTGGTGGCGGGTGGTCCGCTTCCAGCGAGGGGAGAGGTAGAAACAAACAGCCAATGTGTGTGTGTTCTGTTCAGGTGTTGTCACGTAAATAACACAGAGTGGTCCCGAGAGAGGAGAGTCAGCAGGGTTTCTACTCGCGGTGCTTCCTCATTCCAAAAAAGGGGAGCACTGCGCTCCGCCCTGTTTTGGATCTTCGTGCATTAAACAGTCACTTGAGAAAATACACGTTCAGAATGTTAACACACAAGGTGTTGTGTCAGTCTATCCGTCTGACCGACTGGTTTGTGACGATAGATTTGGCGGACACATATTTTCACAGACATCCTCCCTGCACACATGAAATTTCTCAGGTTTGCGCATCAGGGCATAACCTACAAGTATCTAGTTCTTCCGTTTGGGCTGTCACTAGCCCCTCGGGTGTTCAGCAAGTGTGTGGAAGCAGCGTTGTCTCGGTTAAGGGACAGCGGCATCAGGATTTTTTCGTACATAGACGATTAGCAAGCGCACAGAGATGCAGAGACAGTGACGTCACATCTCATGAGCCTGGGCTTCAGAATAAATTGGTCCAAAAGCCGATTGCAACCCGCACAATGCACTGTTTATCTGGGTCTCAGCATAAACTCCCTCTCGTGTTGTGTCACTCTCTCACAGGAGAGGATACAGGCATTCACTCAGTGTTTGGCCCGTTTCCAGCTCGGCGCGGCTGTGCCATTCAGAGTCTGCCTGCAACTACTGGGTTTGATGGCGTCAGTCATATTGGTAGTGAGGCTGGGCCTCCTCATGATGAGGGATATGCAGAGATGGGTGGCATCATTAAAACTGTGTCCCTGCCGTCACCTCCGCTGTTTGGTGACGGTTTCACCAGAGGGCATGGCGGCTCTCCGTCAGTGGAACCCGGCGATTTTCTCTCAGGGAGCATGCCTGGGGATAGTAGCGTCGAGGGTTGTCATGACGACGGACGCATCGCTGACAGGATGGGGAGCGACCTTTGAGGGCAGAGCTGTGAACGGCATCTGGCCATCGGAGCTGACCCATGCTCACATAAACTATTTGGAGTTAATGGCAGTATTTCTAGCACTGAAACATTTTTTGCCGCTCCTCATGGACAAACATGTTCTGTTAAAGTCCGACAACTCCATGGTGGTGGTGGTGTATGTGAACCGTCAGGGGGGCACACGATCGTTGCAGCTACACCGATCGGCTCGCAAGATTCTTCTGTGGAGCAGCTCTCGGCTCGGGTCGCTGCGGGCGACGCATGTGGCACAAGTGCTGAACAGAGGAGTGGATCTCATGTCAAGAGGAAATCCTCTGTTTGGGGAGTGGAAACTTCATCCCCAAGTTGTGGCTCAGGTGTTTCAGAGATACGGCCAGGCTGCCGTAGGTCTGTTCGCATCGCAGGAAAATGCACATTGTCCTCTATATTTCTCCCTGACAGACGCAAATGCACCATTGGGTGTGGATGCATTGGCCCACCCAGAAATGGTGGCACTCTGGGCCTGGCCCGTGAAAGGCTGAATCTGGATGCAGTTGGACTGCCCCCCAGTGTGATCGACACTATTCAGTGTGCGAGGTCCTCTTCCACCCGCTCGCTATACAGTGGTAAATGGCGGGTATTTGAGAAGTGGTGCGAGGAGAGGCAGATTGTCTCCTTTCAGTGTTCAGTGAGGGATATCCTCTGTTTTCTTCAGGACCTGTTGGACAGAGGGAAAGCCTTTTCCACAATTAAGGTTTACTTGGCGGCTATCTCAGCGTGCAATTTGGGCCTGGGTGATAAAACACCTGGCCGCAAACGCCCTGTTTCTAGGCCCCTGGTGCCGTTATGGGATTTGTCAGTGGTGTTAGATGCCCTTTCTCGACATCCTTTTGAACCTCTGGAAGGTGTGGGATTGAAGATCCTCTCACTCAAAACTGCGGTGCTCTTAGCTTTGACTACGGCAAAGCGAGTGAGTGATCTACAGGCACTGTCGACACACTCAGCCTGTATGCAGTTTGCCCCAGGGGATCTAAGGTGTGTTTAAGGCCTAACCCGGCCTTTGTACCTAAAGTAGTAGAGTCTGCGTACAGGTGCCCCACGGTGGAACTGGGGGCTTTTCACCCTCCCCCGTTTGAGACAGTGGAGGATCGCAGACTGAATACTTTATACCCGGTGTGGGCATTACGTCTGTATGTGGATAGGACTGCAGGGTTCCGGAGGAGTGACCAGCTGTTCGTGTCCTGGGCTACGCCCCACAAAGGGAAACCACTTTCCCGCCAGAGGTTATCCCACTGGATTGTGGAGGCCACAGAGCTGGCTTACAGATGCAGGGGCCTGCAGCCTCCTGCAGGGTTAAAAGCTCACTCCACCAGAGGCATGGCTACATCATGGGCTCTGTTTAGAGGGGTCAGAGTTGAGGACATTTGTGCCGCGGCAAGTTGGGCCACACCACACACATTTGTGAGATTTTACAGGCTGGACGTTTCTGACACGTCCCCGGCCCATGCGGTGCTGGGGACGGGGGCTTCGAAGGCCTTTTAATACGTCAGACTGGGTCGTGGAGCCGGATGGCTTCGGGAGAACATGCAATCTGGGAGTGGGCCATAGAGCGATTCCCATAGTGAAACACCTCACTCTGTTATCAAAGAACCAGGGATTACGTTAAGTAACCCAACTTTTTTGTATTTGTATGATTGCATTTGTGTTTATTACATACTTGTTTAAGTATAGCAAGTATAATAAATATAATGTAGGAATCGGTAAGGAATCGGACCGTTAAGAAGGAATCGGTAAGGAATCGGAATCGTTAAAATCCTAACGAGTCCCAACCCTACACATGACTAAATAATTTCATCCCCATTCAAGTTATGGAGTGTAGAGGCAGATGATGTATCATTTGATACCAAAGGTGAAAGTAAGGTCAGTTACACAAGGTTTAGGAAACAGTTGATCAAATATCAGATTTGGCAGCAAAAAGGACTCCTTAAGAGGTGTTTTGATAATTTGAGTAGTTTGTGCGTAAGTCAAGCCTTGAGAGGTCAAATGAGGTAGAATGTTCTGGGTTAGGGTGACCTGACCATTGGAACAGATGTGCCAAGTTTAGCAATAGGAAAAATTTTTGAGATGATAAGGACACATGTGATCCAGCTCTGAGAGAAACAAAGAAGACAGGAAAATATTAGCGCACGAAGTCCAGCTTTAGGAACAAACAAAGGAAGCAGGAGAACATTGGATTCCCAGGGAATATGACCCAAGCGTGTCCCTACACACACACACACACACACACACACACACATACACTCACATGCACATGAACGAACAGATGCCCACTATAAAGGCATTTGAAGGTTGACTGTTCGGGGCTGTTTCGCTGTGTTGCTGTTTCTACTGGTGTACTGTTGTACCTACAACCTGTATACTGAGTTCTGCAATTAAAGTGATCCCGTTGGCTGTAACCTTTCTCCGTAGTTCTCCAAGTCTCCTCATTTCAGTGTTTTCTGAAGTCGAGCATCCTAACCTTACAGGAGCACTAAACCAAAAGGCAGAAGTAAGCTGTTCGGTCGGTAAAGTCTCTAGTGCACATGTTCTATGGGCCCATTGAAGAAAGATCCAGGTAGTTTTACACCTGGGTAGACAAACTTCTATTGTGGCATGCACCACTGAGCAACTTAGATAGGAATAAACAAGCCCCGCCATCAACACTGTGAACAGCTCTCTTTATACATCCGTGGGTCACTAAGACAGGGCTTATGTCTTGTCTTAGGTTTAGTTGGTCCAAACGTGGCATTCTAAGTTGTGATTGGGGTCACACGTAATGGCTAGGAGTCAGAAGATGGATTATTACTTTCAAAGAAGCAGCCGTGCATGACCACCAACTTTTTGAACAATGACAACTGACCTGAGGGTGACCTTAAACAAAGCTGTGAAGTATTACTTTTAGCTTACACAAGGAAGACCCCCCAAAAAATACTCCTTCACAAATAACATAAACTTAGCTGCAAATGTGTGATCGGTTCAATCAGATGCTAGTGTCATCCTTACTCTTTAATACCACTGCTAACAACAAACTGTCCGTCCAAACACAGACACACCACTCCTGCACAGGTCTATTAATTTTTGAATCTCAATGTACATGAAATGTCCTTTTATTTTTTTTGGATGCTACATAATAACACCACCCCAGATGATAAATGATAAACTACACTTTAGCAAGACAACAAGAACATGTACGTATCGTAACAACGCATGCACTGCTAGACAGTAGCCACAGTGGCATAGGCATTCACACGAACATGCATCCATCAGTAAGACAAGGTGTAACTAAGACAATGCTGAAGTGTGGTTGGTGCCACTATCGTAAAGTCAATTCCAAAGACTGGTTTTAACAAAGAGCGACTTAGCAGCTAGGACAAGGCTTAGTAAAGACCAGACGTTGCAACCTGCTCTGAAGGGGTAGTGAGGATGGTAGCCCTAAGAGAATCGCTTCACTCTGATGAAAAAGTCCCCCCGGCTGGTATAACACACTGTGTCTGACTGGGGCCTGAGGCTTTCAATGTACACATCACATATGGGAGTTCTGCCTACACAGATTTAAAAAATAATCCGAACCCATTCTTTAACATTTACTCACCACCAGATACATCCTCTGGTGGTAGACTCCGGTGACATGGCTGATGATGTCCTTCTCTGGGATCTTCAGAGAGCAGCACTCACAGAGGTAGAGAGGGTCATGCTCATCATTGTTGCATTCAAGAAGTGCACTTAAGCCTAGAAGATATATTGTTCAATATTAATACTGTTACAAATCTTCTCCCTAGGCTTGAAATGTTCCTGTTTTATTAGAAAAAGAATGAAGCTCAATTAGGTAAAACAATGGATTACGTCTCAAAAAAAAAAAAAAGAAAAAAAGAAAGAAAGAAACTCACCAACAACAGGATCTCGGCTCTTCTTGCTAAGATACTGCCACAACTTATCTCCTGGTTGCTGATTCATACTAGCGGATGCTTTAACGACCACAGGCTCAGACACATTTTGTGCGTTACTTGGCAAATTTTGGGGTTCTTTATGAGATGTGTCTTCTTTGGAGGTGAGCCGCTGCCTTTTATTGTCCATTTCTTGTGTTACATTTATAGCAGGACAGGTGTCCTCCTGTGAGAATTTCCTCTTCTGTGTGATACTTCTGCTTGTCTGTATTCCGGCCTCTGTTCCATCACTTCCATCCGTTGGTTTTCTTGATGTAGGCTCTTTTATCTTCTCCTCCTTTATTCCCTGGCATGTCTCCCTTCCCGCATTCTGTATCTCCTCTGAACTAGTTTTTGAGGTCACATCTCCTCTCTTTGATTCTTCATCACTTGGTGTGGGAGTCTCCTTGTTGTCTCCCTTTTTTGTGTTTTCTCCACTTTGTACACAATGTGCACTGGAGACATCAGCACCAACTTCTACTGACATCTTTTTCAGGGTTGTCTCGTCACTGTCGGAGTTTTGACTCAAAGTTTTCTCACACCCCTCCATCGTCCTGCTGTGTTTCTCACTATTGTCTCTCACACGGTCCTTGTCTTTTTCCGAGGTTTTTCTAGGAACTGAGAAATACACATGATGTTAAAGATGCATTTAATTATAATCATCCAAAGCTATGGAAAACACTACCTATAGAAATCACGGAAGCCAGCTCGCACTGGTGGAGGTGTGCCACATCATCTCGTTCATAATAATACCAGTATGATTTTAATATGATGCGTAAAATTTATATTGTGATACTCGCTGTATTTTGACTTGTTCACATATTGAACAAGTATACCATTACCCACGGCAACAACAAGCATGGCAGAAAGCGAAATCATTACAGACTCCGCGGTGGTTCCAAAAAGAGGAGCAGCTTCAGCAGTGTGGAATAAACTGTGGTGTCCTGAATGTTTTATGAACAGCCCCAGACTTCTTGGACTCTTTTAGCGAGTTACCACTCAGAGGGAACTCATTCAGCGGCTCCTCTGGCAGCAGCACAATCTCTCTAGCCATGTGCACACAGGAGAAGATGTCTTCAAGTGATTTTATCATAAACCTTTGGTAATGTAAACCTATGTGATGCTCGCGGCTGGACAAAAAACTACATATATGTGAATGTGCAATAGTTCTGGTATCATAACAGCCTGTCACAGGTTACAGTGTGATGATTACAGGAGAAATAGCAGAGCATAAAGTTCCAGGTGGGGAAAAAAACAACTCCATTATTTAGGATTTTGCTAAAAGACATTCTGGGTTAATCTGAGAGATGCTTATTTCGGTTACTCAATGTCTGTTGGTGAGTCTGTGCCCAGAATTATAGGCTCTGATTATTAATAAATGCAAGGTCTAAAAGGTGATACAAGAAAAAATACTATATGAGATTTGGATTAATAAACTCTCAAATCACCACCACTTTTAGATGAAAATTGCTGAATCACTTAATCCATGTTTAAAACTGTTTTTAAATATCCTTTTATATTGGATTGCCTTGTTTGCCTGTTTTATGTTCATTATGTCTATTTTCATGTGACACGCTCAGTGCTTATAATGCCTTTATTGTAAAGCCCCTGTGCTGCATTTTGTGCATGACAGGTGCTACATAAGTAAAGTTTATCAATATTATAATTATATATTTGGCTTGACATACCCAGCTTTTCTTTAAGACATATTGGGGGTATTAACTCTGTTTTTCCTTCTTTCTTCTTTGCAGATTTCAGGATCTTTATTGCTGGAACAAAACACAACATAAGTAACAGTATAAGAATAGTCAGGATAATAATTTACATTTACAGACATTAAACATTCGTTGCATTATGAATACTCACCTTTCTCATAGCTGCATGGCTCCCAGATGGGCTTGTCCAACTGTACTATCTTTGAAGGCAGAAAATATGGAGATAAAAACATCAATGCATGCCTAGAGGAAATGCTACATAGCATGGAGATAGTGCAGAAACTCACTGCATGGTTCAAAATACCTGTACATCTGATAACAGGTGAGACCATCCTGCCTGTATTGCCAAGTCCAATAAGGTCTCTGCACTAGTGCTTGAATTGTCGAAGACCCGGTGGAAACACTTCTACACACACAAAGCACAAATACACAAATGTTTAGTCCAGTTAACAGTCAGAATTTTTCTGCTACACTTAAACACACCTTTGTGGGGGAGTTTGAGGTTGTAAGAGCGCCGGCTCTTGCTGTGCACACAGTCTTCACACCTTCAGTCCAGAATTTCACAATCCACTCACAGATGAGTGTCCCTTCATGGTCGCCAGTTTTGTGGTGGCAAAACAACTCTATTTAATAAACAGTTTAAAGAAAAAAGTCTTCACATGTCGGCTGTCTTTCTTGAGTTTTAATAAGCATTAATAAATGGAGTCACACGCATACAACCGCATGAACAGTTAGTCAGTGAGTCAGTGCCTAGATGTTCTTCAGCTATGCTATCTTTATAGTTCCCAAAACACATGCATGTCAATAGTCAAAATAGATAGCAAGCAGGTGGTTCTGCAGTAAGCATCCCTAAGACAACATCTCTTGAGGCCCACAAGGACACTTGTTGTTTAATCTGCTTCCATTTGGCCCCTGCTGTATCTCACACTGCTGTCACATTAGGGGTTAAATGAGCAACACATATCATTAGGTGAGAAGTTCAGTTTCATCAAAACAAGTAACCTCAGAACATGGGTATACAACACATGCAAAACACATTATAGGTTAAATACCAGAATTTTCCATCACACTCACTTGTATGCAATATCTAATATACCACAGATATTCAGACATTCATTTCTTGACATCACTGTACTTATTTGTGTACTTTTTATTGTCCCCAGAAAGAAATGGGACTATAATCAACAAACTGCATTAGCAGATACTACTTAAGACCAATAGAAAAACAGCATATACTTTATATAATAATATCACAACTAGCGCTGGATGGTGATACATTATAGTATAGCAATTTATAACCGTTTAGGAAACAAATTGTGAATGATAATAATAATCAATAATCAAGTATGCTTAAAAGTACTACAGAAGTAATTACAGTAGTTTTTGTACTTTATGCAGTATAATTAACTTCTGTAACAGCAGTGTCACTATCCATACTCATTACTGAATGTATTATAAAGTCACCTATGGATGTGAACTGAAAAAGATGAACATGTTTTTTTTATATGCTATTAACCTTGCAATTTTTTTCCAAACCATAACATAAAAAAGTTTGCAAATTTTCTGCACTACAACTCTGGTATATTCAATTATTGTCTCAATTAACCTATTTATTTTTAATACATTTTACACAAGAAAGCTCTGTTTGATTATGGAGAGCACATCTGAGCAACTGAAACAACTGTCCTAACTGTGGTTTATGTGGAAAATAAGCATACGGCATTAAAAGATTTATTTTTTTTATCTGCATGTTTTTTGTTTTTGTTTTTTTTTTTACCCTATAACACTTAGTATCCAGTAAATCATTTCAGTCCATGGCTAATGCACTATTAGTGCAAATAACATTAACATACCTTATCTTGTCCTCCTCTGGCAACAACAGCACTTGTAGTTGCAACACATCACTGAGCTAGCTAATGTTAGCCAAGTAAATGTATACCATAAATTGCTTTTTAAATTAAAATGAGTAAAATAAAACTGGATAGAAGCAAAATACAAATGCCCCTCGAACTTTTAAAATGCCACTGATGTTAATTCATAGGTTTTGCCAGCATTAGCAAGACATGCTCAGTCGGCTAGCATTAGCTTAGTTCACTTGTAGCTTTTCTAACGTTAGCTCGTTAGCTATCGATTAGCGCATCAACGAGCGTTATCGGTGGGAGCGTATCTATGTTTCCAGGGTTCTACTATATGTTTCCCGGGTTCTATGTTCCCCACTTAACCCTGCAAAAAAGGTTCTATGTTCCCCGCTTACACAAAAAAGGTTCTATGTTTCCCAGGTTCTTTGTGGCCCGCTCAACCAAGTGGGTAACATAGAAGCTTTTTTGCACGGTTAAGTGGGGAACATAGAACCCGGGAAACATAGAACCCTGGAAACATAGGGATCAATCAATCAATATCCTTTATTTAACCAGGTAAAAACTCATTGAGATTTAAAACCTCTTTTCCAAGAATGATCGGACCAAGACGGCAGCACAAAAGCAAAATGGTTACACCAAACACACAAGACACAAATAAAATACGATCACACACTACAGGAAAACCAGAGTGGGATTACATGATTACACAGTGCAATCACAAGATCCAATTGAACTTAATTCTCTGTCTTTTATAATTGTCTTGAATTCCCCCAGAGTTACAAGATGTGTCAGTTTCAAGTCCTTCTGCACATCGTTCCAGGTAGACGGGGCAGAAAATTTAAAAGCCTTTTTGCCCAGTTCAGTTCTGACTCTCGAGACCTGCATCTGTATGATGCCCTGAGAACGCAGGCCAAATTGGCTGAGGTTTCCACACATGTGTAAACACAAATATGTAGGCAGAAGTCCAAGAATAGATTTATAAATAAAAGTCAGCCAGTGAGACAGTCTACGAACATACAAAGACGGACAATGTGCAATGGCATATAAGGAACAGTGATGTACACGATAGCTGCAACCAGTAATAAAACACAAAGCACAGTGGTATACAGTATCCAATTTCTTTAAAAACTGATCAGGAGCATTCGTAAAAAGCATGTCTCCATAGTCCAACAGGAGTAAAAAAGTTGTGGTGATCAAATGTTTTCTGACTTGCAATGAAAAACATGATTTATTTCTAAAAAAGAAACCCAATTTCAATTTCAGCTTAGAAACGAGTTTATCGATGTGCAGTTTAAAGGACGGTTTCTCATCAATTAGAATGCTTAAGTATTTATAAGATGTGACCATATCAATTTCAACCCCATGAACAGTTGACAACCTAGGAAGGTGAGATGGAAGCTGCTTGCCATTTGAAAATAGCATGGTCTTTGATTTATCTGCATTCAGCACTAACTTGAGGGATGACCCCTTATCAGTTAGTGTCATCAACTGTCAGTTATTTTATGATGTAACATTAGCTAACGTAATGTAGCTCTTTCTAATGTTAGCTAACGTAATGTTAATTAACATTAAATAACGCTATGTTGCCTGCCACCATGGCCTTTGCTTACTATCTCTTACTGAATAAAGGAAGGAATTTAAATTTTATTTAACTATTGAACATAAGTTGCAACAATGTATACACATTCATATTGTGTTTCAAAACAGTCTCCTAAGGGACTGTTCTTTATGTATCAGAGGAGGGGGGAGGGTGGCTGGGGTGTGATTTCTTGATGTTGCATCAATAAGCGATAAAGTTTAGTGTCTTCATTGACTGTCAGTTATTTTCTGGTGTAACGTTAGCTAAAGTACAAGTAGCTCTTTCTTACACTAGCTAACATAACGTTAATTAATACTATTATTGCCTGCCACCATGGGCTTTGCTTACTATCTCTTACTGGAAAAAAGGAGGGAATTGAACTTTTATCTAACTATTGACCATGAGTTTTACAAATTTATACACATTATTACTTCAAAAATGAGCCTCCTAAGGGACTGTTCTTTACTTATGTAATATTGCTAACGTAACATTAGCTAATATAACATTAGCTAACATTATTTGGTTGTCACGTTAGCTAATGTTACAGCACTGTACGTTAGCTAATGTTACAGCTGAGAAAATCAGCAAATAATCACATTTGAGAAGATAGAAAAGCAAACAGTTTTGGTAATCAAACACTTCTTGGTTATTAGAATTGCTGCAGAGTAAACTAGTCAGTAAATACCAGTAAACCTGACATGGTGACAATAAATATTATTTTTTACTCACCTGAGTCAAACTGTGGCTGGCCTCTATTTTAGTTTAAACTTAAGCTATTTTTGCCTGCCAACATGGGGTTTGCTTACCATCTCTTACTAAAAAAAGGAGGGAATTTAACTTTTAACTTTTGAACATAAGTTGCAAAAAGGCATACACATTCTTACTGAGTTTCAAAACAGAGTCTCCTAAGGGGCTGTTCTTTACTCACCAGAGGAGGGGGAGGGTGACTGGAGTGTGATTTCTTTCTTTCTTTCTTTCTCTTGTTAATCATGATACCCCTCAAAGCTACAAATATTTTCCTTGAGGAGCCCTGAGTGACTGGGGGAAACTGCATGACACTTCCCTCCTTCATAGATTTTTGAAATATTCACACCAAATTTAAATATAAATGGTCAAAAAGCACAGGAGTGAGACTTCCCACCAAACAAACAGCCCATTTCTTTTAAGAAAAATGCAAATCCTCCTTACAAATTGCATCATCACACAATACTTGTGTGCACTTGAGCAGAATGCATGGCTGCCACTTGTCATTGTTCCTACCCCACAAATCCAACAAAATTATCCACCTACTTAAATATGGGTGTATTTTCTGATGGATGTGTTCATCCTGTATGATGTGACGTGACATGATTATATTATATGTAATATATACTTCCATCATAATGTCCTAAGCTCCTACAGTATACACTCTAACCTTTCAATGTTTAAATAGCAGCCTAACCAAAACACTTTTTTTTTTAACATATACAATGACTAGAAAAACTTGTGACATCCATGCAGCACTCTGTAAAAGAATAAAATGGATGCATTTAGCTGCCTAATCAAAATCTGGAGTGTAATTCAACAAGTTAACAGCTTGCACATACCCTGCTTTTTGCTTTGTATTTTTCCTAACACAACTTTTACTGTGCTGTTGTTTGCTGCCTTTGCACAACACTCCAAATGATTACACAAAAAACTGAGTGACGATAAGAGCATAGCAGTCACCATTAATGGAAAAATGGAGTAAGAAGTGATAGTAAAAATACTCACCAGAAATTTTACAACATGTTCTCGGCTGAACACATGAGCGTAATGTTCAGCGCCGCTCAACCTCCTCTCGCAGAGCAAACAGAGGAAGCCCATATTTTTGAGCTGAACCCCTTTAACACACACATGAAACATGACCACGAAGTTTGCACCTGCAATGATGACACAAAGAAAAGTCAAAAACACCCAGAGTGCATTTCTGATTTCTTGTGAGACTGTTTCTCTGCAGTGGCACTCACCGAGCAGAGGAAATCTCTCGTTCTGTTGGAGTTTGCTGTGTCTTTCACTTGGTGGAACTGCACGGATATAAAAACAGACCAACATGCATCACTCAGATGAAAGTAAGCCATTTCATTTACCTAATTAGGGTTAAGAAATTATTTTATAACTAACCGTCACGCCTTAAGATTGTGTGGTATTGCTGAAGTCTTGCCATCACTGCAGACAAAATCAAATGGGACAATAAAATCATGTCTCGCTTTTGGAATTCAGTGTTTGTCAGCTTGGTGGCACACATGACCAACAACACTTTGATAATCTCACAGAGCAGAGGTCACAATTTGGACTTTATTTTAAAAAAAAAGGCTTTGAGCAGAGAGGAAAGATACTGTGAGTTTGTCTCCCCATCAGTGTTTGAATAATTTGATATGACACCAGTTCCTACCTTTTGGGTAGCTAAGTCCATCAAGCCTCTTAAACTCCCAGGATGGCATATCAAGAACCTGAGAAAGAAAAAATTCTCAATTAGTAACAACAAAGACATTTTTTTCTAGTCTAAAGACTATGACTGCCAAAAAATAGTCATGTTTTCATTTTATTACATTGACCAGCTTGTTACAATCCAATGTTTTGTAGGGAAACCTTTGGATCTGACATTCAAGTGGTTGCCACCAGACACGCTCCACCCACTTAAACACCAGTGCAGACCAGGTACTCCCCCCACATAGCAGCAGCACTCCCCAGTAGCTGTGGCCCCGCAGCAGGACAGTGCACCATGCCACACCACAAAAACTGCTCAGGAATGGCCCGAGGAACATGACAGAGACCTAAAGCCAGATGAAAGCCATGTGTTTTGTGTTGAAGCCAACGTGTTGGTGTCAGACACTATAGGACGCCCTCAGGTCCTGTGTTCATGCCTTGACACATCAGAGCCATGTCTGGGCCAAGGAGGACCCCACCTTGAATTGGGGGTACCAGCACATCACTCAAATGTTCAGTCAGATTGGGATCTAGGCAGTTTTTGTGGTGTGGCATGGAGCTTTGTCCTGCTGGGGGGGCACTGCCATTGACAAATGCCATTGCCATAAGGGGGTTTACTTGGTCTGCAACTGTGTTCTGGTAGGTGGAGCACATCAGTGGTTTTAATGTTTTGGCTGTGAGCACAGTTTTAAAGCAGTTGTCTTTCTGAGTTTTATCACAGTTTTTCATCTGCATACAGAGCTCATGCTTTCACAACACCAAACTAGAATTACCGCCTCACAGTTAAATGCCTCCACACACCAGTCAAGTTTCTCTTTTAGTTAATCCATGTGTGAAAACATGGATGCGTCACACACATCTTCCCCTGACACCACAGAAAATCTATACAATCAGCGTGTCACCAATTTAGTATCTGACCAAATGTCTCCACTTCTGTTACTGTGATATGACAGAGAAAAGTGCCAGAAAAGCCAGAGAACTGTTTTGTGCAGAATATCATGATGTCATAGTGAAACTGACCTTTGACATTGGATAAAGTTTTGTCATAATTAGCGCAAAAATACTTGAGTTATGGCCAAAAACATATTTTTTGAGGTCACACCGACCTTGACCTTTGATCTTCGACCACAAAATTCTAATAAATTTATTCTTAAATCCAAGTGGATGTTTGTTCCGTGCGGATTATTCTTGCCGAAACATATAAAAGTTGATTTCATAGGTTGTTATGGAAGTTTGCACACCGAGACAGAACTTTCGTGCAGTGAAAAAAGTTTTCCCCCAGACTTTGAACCCCCGCGGAATTCGCCGTGGAATTCCACAGCTGGGCCAATGAAATTGTTTGTTTATAGTCGCGCAGACCCGGGAGAGTCCAAAATCCAGTCAGACAGGACAGTATGGGAGAAAGGTTGATAAACCTCGTTTCACAGCACCCCGTCCTTTTTGATAAAAGACAGGATGATTTTATGAACAATGAATTAAAGGACAACGTCTGGCAGTCCATTGTCCAGCTTGGCGGCTGCGGTGAGAGTGGTAAGTGCTAAAGAAAGTTGATGTTGACGCTTGTTAAACGTTAGCTTGCTAGCTCGCTGCTGCTTCTGCTGCTACTCGCGTCCATGTTCACCCACACCCATTCACACTGTGCGGAATTGGAACACAACAACGCGAAATTCCACACTGCGTCCGTACCGCGCCTGTGTGTATGGTTTAAACACGGAAAAGCGCTGCGTGAATATTCCGCAAATCCGTCCCATATTTCCGCATCGCAGCAGTGAGAATGAACCTTAAGACAGATAAGGTTCTAGTGACCTTGACCTTTGACTACCAAAATCTAATCAGTTTATCGTGGAATCCAAGAGAGCATTTTTGCCAAATCTGAAGAAATTCCCTCCAGGTGTTCATGAGATGCCGGGTTCACGAGAATGAGACAGAGGGACAACCCAAGACTATAATACCTCCAGCTAAGGCAATCGCCCGCATGGAGGCATAGACCCAAAGTTACACTAAAACCTTTATACATTGCTTCATCTGCCATACACCTCCCAGCAATGACACAAAAAAGTGTATGAGAGCAAAAAGATAAGGGTCTCTGCACAGCGAAGGTCAAACTGCTCTGCACACTCAGAGGAAATGAGACACAGATCACACTTTGACAGTGTATAGTTAGTATATAAAATAGGGATGTAACAGTCCTCGGTAAAATATTGAACAGCTCGGATCAATATGCCCTTATGGACCACAGGTTTTTGGTTTTGCAATTAATTTTGCGTTTATTCTTTACAGGCCACTGTGTGTGTGTGTGTGTGTGTGTGGCCGAGTCCATGGATGTTTAAAGAGAACAGCCGAATCACCCTGCTGCACAAAAGCCCTTCCCGCGAGTTAATGTCCAATCACTCCCGCGTCACACAGAAAAGAAGTGGAAAAAACAAACATAGAGAGCCATGGCAAACGCAAGCGGAGGAGTTGAGAGACAGAAGTTTGAAGAAGCACCGGCGTCATACAAATCTCCAGTGTGGGATCATTTCAGTTTCGCTGTTGAATAAAACGAAGAGGGAGTGAAAACAGTTAACAGAAATTTCACTATCTGCAAACGTTGCTTGAAACATGTCTCGTGTATCCACTACCATTATATTAGGGGGGCGCAAACTAAATAGCCTTATGTTATTCATCTTATGTCATTTCTGTTTCTACATGGTCGCACATTTACAATCCTCCTCTTCTCAATGTATCGCGCTTGACGGTGTTCAGCCCTGATGCGCGTGCGCACACACACACACACGTGCGCACAAGCACACACACGCACACAGACACAGGTGAGCACACAAGAGCGCGGCCTGGGCCACATTTTCCTGAAGGACAATTACAATCAAGCCAGTCTATGGAGCGGAGCCTGTGTTGCGTTCAGGCGTTGTCACTTAACTAACAAATTACAGCACTTGAATAGGCTGTAGCACAGCAGCATGTGTAGAGGCAGATAATGTATCATTCTATATCAAAGGTGAAAATAATATTAGTTGCATAAGGTCTTAGAAACAGTTGGCCAGATGTCAGATTTCGCAATAGGAAAGAATCCTTATAAGAAGTTGTTTTTGAGTTGGTGAACTTTGGAAGACACCGTAAAAGGAGTTGTTTTGGTAAATTGATGTTCGTGTGCTGTCCAATTCTTGGAAATCAAACAGAACAGAGTACACTTAGGTTAGTATTCAAATTCCGAAGATGTCTTGCTAAAAAAACAACTGGTTTTGTTGTTTGTTGGTCTAATTGTCACACTATCCCCTCCACCTCCCGATGACACAGTCAGCTCACATGCATGTAATCAGAGCTATTTCACTTAAGAAACGTTGATAAGATACGTCTGAAATGTACAACTGTAATATATCTGTGGTTTGCAGAAACGTACAACACTGACATTTTCTTGTAGCAAGTGAGCTCAAATATGGAATTTCCACCTTCAAGAGAAAAACAAATCACAGGTCTGTTCCAGTTCTTTGGCATTTTACCTTCAGCAACATCTGTTTTGGTCCTCTTTCCTTCTCCTCTTCCCATGCCATTGACCTCAAGACTTCCACATCCAGGTTCTCCCACGCAAAAGGCAGACGCCAGGGGTTCTGGTGCAGCTAAGAATATCAAGACAAAAAGGGGTATTTATAAACCAAGCTATACCCCAGGGGAGTCATCTGGGGTATAGCTTGGTTTCTGGGCCCTGCAGGTCTCAGTATTTTCAAAGTGTCTCCCTTACAATCTGCATTACCATGCAATGATAACATCTCAATAAGAAAAACATTTTTTAAACTGCTCTTTGTGATGACACTTGCACATAATGCATTAACAAGTGCTTCACTCTGCAACAGTATAGGGTCCTGCTGCTGAGCTTCAGGCTCTGGATCATCTCCAGTGCTGGGATCCACCCACCAGATCCATGGTGGAGAATCACGTGTGTTAATGCATGTTAAGATGGAAAATCATGTGAGTTAATCTCTCTTTCCTATCAATAAATAATGTTTACATGCCACTGTATTATATTATGCACTGTAATGTTTAATTGCATAAAAGAAAGAAGCCTACTGAGCATATATTTAACACACTGTATCACATCCATGCCATTGTATTTAGTAGGCTTATTATAAGCTGACTGATCACACTTGGTTTCACATTTAGGCCACATTTTTATTGTGGAGGCCACGTGGCTTATTCAAACTAATGAACGCATTCTGTCATATCTTGATGACCATCCCTGGCGGGAGTACACAATTTAAGACTTCCTTCCCCAAGCTCGTGACTGTAAAGGGTTTGACGGACGACGTGGGCCTGAGCCTGGAGCTCTGCAGCTAGACCCTTCCCAACAGTAAGTAAAAGTCTGACTACTTTGAATCACAAAAAGAGGTAAAGACATCAAACTATGTGACAGCGATAGGACCTGTATTAGTACTAATGTGCAATATAAAACTAAAAACAAAATATACATCATTTGCAACTCCTCACACACGAGTGGTTCTGCTAGCATCCAAACACAGCTGCACTGAACACTAACCACATTAGTTACTAAAAACTCACCAAGGTGTTTATGAGATGTTTCATGGAGTTGAAGTGCTGTTTGCGAAAGGACTTGCAAAAACAGTCCTCACAAGCAAAGCACACATAAAAAGGGTTCTCCATATCTCCATTGCTGATACATGTCACAACCAGGGATACACCTAAACAAACAGAAATAAATAAATAAGACGACATATTTTTAACATATTTATATATCATTTTAACACCTTACAAAAACACATTGTTAACAAGTGGGTCCGCTCACCAATAAGTGGTTCATTATGCTTCAAGCGCTCTTGGTGGTACATGTATAAGTCCAGACTGGGTTTCCATCCTAACGTTTAAAATAAAGAGTGTTAAGAGAATAAGTTGAAAAAAAATACCAAAATAATTTTCTTAAATTAGCACCATCAACTCAAACTTTGTGCCTAAAAACACAGAAAAAAAACATACACTGATCAGCCAAAACATTAAAAACACTGACAGGTGAAGTGAATAACTTTGATCCTCTCGTTACGATACAGTGTTCCTGTGGGAAATTTTTGGTCCTGGGATTTATGTGGATACCACTTGATGCGCTCCACCCACCTAAACGCGCAACAGTGTTTGGGTGGGTGGAGGGTGTCAAGTGGTATCCACATGAATGTCAAAACTGAAGGTTTCCTAGCAGAACACTGCATTGTAATGGGATGATTGATATATTTGATTGATGGATTATTTTTATTTACGTGTCATGCACAAAGTGCCCAACCCTCATGGGTTTATAAGACACCAAAAAAGTACAGTTGCAGTGTACATTATTATTATTATTTTTTTCATTTCATACATAATTACAACCCCTTTTACGGCTCAGACTTTAAACAGAATATTCTGCCTTCTTTCCCACGCTTTACAAATAAAATCTGCAACAAAAAAGATTCCCTTTCTAAAACACAACTCAAGTTTCTCATACTCGTCCAGCCAAAAGATATCAGCATAAATTGAGGACATTTTAATAAAAAGTACACCCCTCAAGTCCTCATAAACAAGACAGTAAAACAGAAAATGGACCTCACTCTCAATTTCACCGAGCTCACACACCTGACAAAGTCTGTCCTCCTCTGGAATGGCATTAAACCTGCCGGTCTCTAAAGCCAAGGGTAATGTTCCTGAACGTAACTGTGCACATAATGATCTTTGTCTTTTGTTTAATTATACTTCACATACATTTCAACATCATAACAGTTTTTTATGAGACAGTAAGTTCGTAATTTTGGTTTATACCATATATCGACAGACCATTTTTCCTTACACTTGAGAAACATATTATTCTTTAACTCCCGAATATTACAAAGTAACCTGTTATGAAAGATAAATGAAAAATCATTCAAATTAAATAAGGATTTCATCTCGTTAACCCAGGGATGACCATGTAAAATGTCCCAGATAAAAATCTTTTTAGTGAGTCTCTGATCTGACATCCTTACAAGTCTATTCCACAGTCGAAGCATTTCACATTTATGTCTGATGTTTGGAGGTTCCCATCCCATATCTCCACAAACAGCTAAAACTGAAGTTAATTTATGCACTCCTAAAAAAGATCGAATAGCTCTATAGTGCACAGCATTACAACTTGAGTATTCCCGGAAACCCCAAACACCAGAAGCATAATCAGACACAGGACAAACACATAAACTGTAGAGC